GACTGCTGCCCTGCAGAGTTTAGCTCAACCCTTACAAAAAAGAAGTTTATTCACGTGTGCTATTAGAAGGCTATACTTCTTTTAAAGGTGGGGTAAGTGATTTTTCAAAAACTCTTTAGAAAACTGATTCGGGCCGAATAGCAAAACAAACTTGTAGCCAATTAGCAGTAAGCGGCGTGTCTACTCATGATGTGGAGGAGAGAGAGTTCAGTGCACAGGACGGACATTAGCCGAGCCAATCGACAGAAAGATATGGTGGATAAAAAACAAAAGATGAAAACGTCTGCGGAACAAAAGAAGCCTTAAGACAATAAGGCAAGAAGTAGGACCCGTGTAAATATCGGATCCGCTTTCCAGCACTGGAGAGAACTCAAGGAGCGGAAGGCCTGCGATCGGACGCCGATGTTGCTTTGTTTCTTCTCGATAGGTGAGTAACACAGTGTCTGCGCTTTGTTTCTTCTCGATAGGTGAGTAACACCGTGTCTGCGCTAAAGTCTGTCTAGTACACTGAACACGACAAAACGACCGTTGAAAATCATTTGAAATTTGTGTCAATACGTCATGCATAGAACTCAGCAGCAGTTTTCTGTCGGGTATTTGTCGTGTCGTGCTGCGCCGCATCCAGTGTAGACCATAGGTATATATATATATTTATGGTGTTGACAGCATCACTGATTATAATGAGCTCTATAGTATTTTGTCGCACCGCGCCACTCCGGTGTAGACACGGTGTAACATTGGTTTTGCTTTGTTTCACAGAACTAATCGTTGCCTGGGTTGCGTCCGTATGTGTGGGGCGGAGCTATCAGAATAGGGGCGAGACCCTTTTGGGGTAGGGGCATGTTTGTTTTGGTGATTTCAAATGTCAACATTGGCTACCAGAAATCGCTTACCCCACCTTTAAACTAAAAATAGGAAAGTCATTCATTGTTGTACGGTAGGGGGCGCTATTATGCATCTTCTATACAGAATTTCCAAAACACAAGCGAAGAAGAAACCAAAACAACAGATGCTTCCACACGTAATCTTACACGATCAGACATAAAACAGCATCAAAGCTGTGTAACGTTATGGAATAAAATGTCGACCCATGAAGAGGTAATAATGACTGTCAAGCTTTGCGACTCCATCTATGTTTTGATCATTTTTCTGAATCCTATTCATAGTCTTTTTTTTCCAGCTTTTTGTTCAAAATTTTTTTTATTTATTTTTTTTATTTATAAAACTTACCCACATTCAAGTGTTTATATAAAATTAATGCATGAAGCTTGAATAAAAGTTTTTTGTTTACAAGCAGATACCCTGTTCTTTCTTTCGATGTTTTGTATGTTCAGATATTCATGTAACAAAATATATACAAATTAATACCTAAATAGGGACATAGTAGTATACTGAAACAAGTATGATGTAAAGTTCACTTAAAGAACTTACGAGTATACTTGCAGTAAAAAACTACTAAACTACTGAGACTATACTTCAAAGTGCTACAAGTATTTAATTAGTAAACTATCAGTTTAACTATGTTCACTTTTAGTATAGTTGCAGTACAAACATAGATGTAAACTATTTACAAAGTTTACTACTGTTATACTTAAAGTATACTTTTATACACTAGTAAGTGGGCCAATTTAGTCCCATGGACTATTGAAATAGTACACTAGTATACTTTTTTTTTTTAATAATAACAGAAACCTTGATCTCACACGTACCTGTGATTTTCTAATGATTGTGAAGACTTTGATTAGCTTGCTCGGGTGTGTTTGATCAAGGTTGGAGCTAAACTCTGCAGGGCATTGGCCCTCCAGGACAAGATTTGAGGAACCCTGACATACAGTCTCATCTCTTATCCTGGATCAGTTAGAAAGAGCACTGCTATTCAGATGCTGCATATTAAAAACATTACACAATCCTTTGAATGTTACTCACCTCTTGTCCATTCTTGTGTCATTCTCTCTCTTTCTGGAAGTCATGACATCAGTAATCTGTTAAACATTCCTTTGTCACAACAGTCTGTATAAAAAGTGAAAAAAGTGACGTGTAGCCAAGTATGGTGTCCTATACTCTAAATTTGTGCTCTGCATTTAACTCATCCAAGTGCATACACACACACACTCGGAGCAGTGGCAGTCTTTTCTGCTGCGGCGCCCGGGGAGCAGTTGGGGGTTCAGTGCCTTGCTCAAGAGTCTCATCTCAGTCCTCATACTGAGGGAAGAAAGCACTGGTCATTCACTTCCCCCACAACAATTCCTGCCAGTACCAAGACTCGAATCCACAACCTTTGGGTTACAAGTCCGACTCTCTAACCATTAGTCCACGACTGTATATATCACTTATCTCCACACTTACAGATCAAATTCATTCACTCAGCAGTTTCGTTCTGTTTATCTGACAGACCAGATCTAGTGGACTGCTTCCGACCTGTCAGTTGACCACAACATCACCATTCACTTGGGTTCTACAACACTAATGGCAACAAGTAGGAAAGTTTGATGACCAATTGTATGTATGTATGTATGTATGTTCCCTCGCACCATTTATGGTGAGTGAGTAATGCCTAGGGGTTTTTCACAAAGAAGGACAAAGTCGCATTCCAGATACTGCACCCTTTCTTTTCTTGGACAAGCTGCCAACCTCCACCCAATCTGCTGAGATCATCACAACTTTCAGGAAAAGGCTGAAAACACACCCCTTCTGCAACAAATGCTTCATATAATATTTTCTTTAGCATTTCACTTCTGCTCTTGTATACTAGGTCGTACTTAAATTTGACATTGTGTGCTGCAAATATTAAGGCTTTTATCATAAAATGTGTATGATATGCATCTGGGAAAAAGCATCTGCAAAATAAATGTAAATGAATACTAAATTAATAAAAAAAATAACTATAGTAATATTTAATTTTTAAAAAAGTGAATCCGAGTCCAAAGTTTTACAGGCTTTACTGTAATCTTGACTGTTGGGCTTCCTGCTCTTACTGATAGTGATTTTACAGCTGGGGTAATAAAGTCATCAGGCTGTTTTTCTGCTGGTTGCTAGGGGGTGAGGCAAGTACTTTTTACTGAAAACAGAATCTTCAGGATATTCTATGATTCCTCTCTCTTCATCACTTTAATAAAGTACAAAATAATAATAATAAAATGAATCGCTAAATCCTTATAATAATAATAATCCTTATAAGCCTTATGAAGTCTTTCCACTTTTATCGTGATACTATTAAAATACACACAAGCACTTTCTGTTTCAAGAATTCTGTTTTTAAAGAGCAGACAATAATGATCATATATGTTTTAGATATAAGCCTTTATAAATATTACTCCTACATTGTTTTGATTTAATTTTTGTACATTCCAAGAACTTTGAATTAAAAATGTGTGACCAAAAAATGTTTATGATACTTACTGAGTTTTTCTCTCGGAATGTGGTTTATATTCCTCTCATGCGTAAATGGACTTGACTTGAGCTGTCTAAAGACTTTGAAACAACCATAAAAGAGGGAGGCGCAAAGCTGTATGAGCTCTCAAACAACGAGCTGTTCTTTTCTGACATTACCTTTTGGACAGAATATTTACATAGAAAGTGAATAGTTCACTCGAGTAAATCTTAGCTCACTACACATTAAGGCTAATTCTGTGTGTGGCAAAAAAAAAAGCAAAAAAACAAACAAACAAAAAGACACAATGTCATGTATGTCATTAACTACACTACCCTATGTTTGAGAATACAGAATATACCATTTACTGTGTTTTCTGAAGTCCACAGTCAACGCAGCCATCTACCAGGAAATTTTAGAGCACTTCATGCTTCCTTCTGCTGACAAGCTTCATGGAGATGCTGATTTCATTTTCCAGCAGGACTTGGCACCTGCCCACACTGCCAAAAGCTGGTTCAATGACCATGGTGTTACTGTGCTTGATTGGCCTGCAAACTCGCCTGACCTGAACCCCATAGAGCATCTATAGGGTATTGTCAAGAGGAAGATGAGAGACACCAGACCCAACAACGCAGATGAGCTGAAGGCCGCTATCAAAGCAACCTGGGCTTCCATTACACCTCAGCAGTGCCACAGGCTGATTGTCTCCATGCCACGCCGCACTGATGCAGTAATTAAAGCAGAAGGAGGCACAACCAAGTACTGAGTACATGTACAGTAAATTAACATACTTTCCAGAAGGCCAACAATTCACTAAAAATGTTTTTTTATTGGTCTTATGAAGTATTCTAATTGGTTGAGATAGTGAAATGTGAGCCAAAATCATCCCAATTAAAAGAACCAAAGACTTAAACTACTTCAGTCTGTGGGCATTGAATTTATTTAATACACGAGTTTCACAATTTGAGTTGAATTACTGAAATAAATTAACTTTTCCACGGCATTCTAATTTATTGAGATGCACCTGTATTTATATGCACACACACACACACACACAGAGAGAGAGAGACATATATATTCACCAAAGGTCTTTCTTTTGTTTGTGTGTGTATGTGTGGGTTTTTTTTTTTGGTGTGTTTTCCGTTTTGAGAGTAACATTTTTTTTTTTTGGTATATTCTCTAAGATATATAGGCTATGCATAGCTGCTACACTGCGTGACATACTCGCATGTTTCTCTAGATTATGCAAAGACCTTGCATGGCATGATGTCATAAAATATGTCTACTTTTAGAGCACAGAGTAAGGTTTGCAACGATATACGTTAAGTTGAACAATCATACAAGGATAATAAGCTATTCATTGTGGAAGGGACATGGTGAAATGAAAATCTTACGTTGGAAAAAAAAATCTTTTGCCGATATCTTCGGAGTGGAAAGACGCACACTTTTCAAATTTCCCACGATGAAAGAGAATGCTAATGCGCATGTGTGGAGCAAAAACCACGCCTTGGGGTTCCTGTGCACGCAAGTTATTAAAGGTGTTTCGACTGTACACATGTCCCAAATGTAATAAGTCCACCCTTGATTTTTGTAATCTTATCACGTAATCCAGATTACATTGCTGCTATTTCAACGAGACATTTCATTGTTTCCACCTGTACCATACAGCACTTTTGGCTGAACTGTTCCTTTAAAAATCCGAGTGCAGCTGGTAACTCGTAAACAGAACGGGTCCCTTTAAATCGTGCGTAGAGTGGAGCAGGTGGGTGTTCCCCTGCGCAACACACACAGCGCTGCTGGCACCGAGCGCAGTCACTTTTCACGGAAATCTGCGGCTTGTCCTCGACGCTTTAGAGAAATGCTGCAGCTGAATGACAGCGTGGACCCTGAGAGCCCGGGTGCGGCTGTCCTTCACCCGGCGGACTGTGATGATGGGCTGGATTTGGGCCGAGCTGGAGCTTCGGTGGCCTGCTGCACCCCGCTACAGACCCTCACGCCTTTCCATGTCCACAACCCAACCATGCGAGCCAGAGTCAAGGACTATTTCGTCTTCAGGGTGAGTAAGAAACACAGTATTCACTACAGAACGCCCGGACTCGGTAGTCGTAGTCTTAGTGTGTTTACTAGATGGGGTTGTATGTCAAAACCAAAAGAAGCTGCCTACATAGACAGCATAGACTGAGCACAATGACAGGGAACAAAACGCAAAGACGTTAACATTTAATTCGGTTTTTTTAAAGTTGACTTTAAGAATGCCTATGTTGCTCGACAATGCGTAGGGAGCTCACCAGGATTTGTGACACGGCCATTGTGCCTAGTGTCTCTTGTTAGCTGGAATGAAATGCAGTAGTTGTAGTGGCCTTGTAACATTCATTATGAAACTCTAACTATAATTAGGAAGCCCTGTTAACAGTTTGAATCACTGATTAATGTGACATGAAGTTGAGTGTTTTTGCCAAAAAAGAGGCAAAGACCGTATCCGGCGGTTCAGAATTGAATACTAATGTACTGCGTATTGTGTAGCCTATACTGTATACTGCATACTACAGGTTTCAAATAGTATGCAGTGATAAACGTTTGAAGCCGATTCCAATTCTTTTGCATTTGTGGTGCAAATGTTTCACTTTTGACAGACAAACGTTAAAAAAGTACTTATTGTCTTCATGTTGTATTGCAAAACACTTTTGCTGCTATTGAGGTGGGTTTACAGGAAACGTTAGGGACACATTTTGTGAATTTATAGAAATTAATCAGAGATGAGCACTAGAATGGTATGAATGCAACGCACCGTTTCATTAGACTGTCTTTATTTTTTTTAGACTTATGATGATGTAAATGTTATAATTCTAATAAATGGTCGTTCACTACCTCCACAACCACCTGAAACATGATTACCCATATAGATCAAATGCTTCTTCCTTTAACTTATATTCTGGTTTGTGTTGTTCCTTGTTTGTCACTCAAGTCACTTTATATTACAGTGTCTGATAAATGAATAAATATAAAAGCAAAGAACAGCATGCTATTTTATTTATTTTTGTGTATGTGTGGTTTCAGTCGGTTCAATTTGATCATACACTCTAAAAAATGCTGGGTTAAATATAACCCAGCGCTGGGTTAAAAAGGGACAAATCCAGCTGTTAGGATGTTTTGACCCCAGCGGCTGGGCTGTTTTGACCCCAGCGGCTGGGCTGTTTTGACCCCAGCGGCTGGGCTGTTTTGACCCCAGCGGCTGGGCTGTTTTGACCCCAGCGGCTGGGATGTTTTGACCCCAGCGGCTGGGATGTTTTGACCCCAGCGGCTGGGATTGTCCCGTTTTGACCCCAGCGGCTGGGATTGTCCCGTTTTGACCCCAGCGGCTGGGTTTGTCCCGTTTTGACCCCAGCGGCTGGGTTTGTCCCGTTTTGACCCCAACGGCTGGGTTTGTCCCGTTTTGACCCCAGCGGCTGGGTTGTTTTTAACCCAGCATTTTTTAGAGTGTAAATTTAGAATACACTTTTAATACATTTGACGCATCACGCTTTCTGCATGTTTGTACACAGGTTTTACACTCCAATCCACATATGATTGTTTGATAAATGAGACCCATGCAGTGATGTACATTGTAAACTATGGGAGTAGTGTGGTATCATGCTTTTGTGTTTGATCTTGAACTGTTGTCATCCGTTTATGTGGCCTATAGCAGTGGTTCTCAGCCCAGGGGCCGGGGCCCGATAGGGGGCCTCAAGATTTAAAATAAGACAAGATATCCAGCAAAATCAACTAAAAGTCAGGAAATGTCTTTTTAATTCACCTCTCAACAACTTTTTTTTTTTAATATACTTCATATCAGTACACTTTATTTGCACTGTTTTATTTTGTGAAACCATAAATACAAAATGTATTATTCATATTAATTATTATTAAAGCAATAAGCCCCAAGAAGCCGTGGTTTACAGTGAATTTATAACAGCTAAGGGGGCTTTAGGCACTCCGCGTCACATCGTGTCTAACAACGTCCCTTAGCTGTTATAAATTCACTGTAAACCACGGCTTCACAGGGCTTATTGCTTTAATAATGCATTAATATGAATACATTTTGTATTTTATAGTGTTATTGTATAATAATAATAATAATAATAATTATCTCACTCAGGGAGCTATCATTCCTGAGGCGTCTCAGTTGATAAGAAAATACTTTGAATTGGGTCAAATTAAACTAAACTACTGTTATTGTTCAAATTGTATGCTCTTAATGTGGCATGTTTTTGGAAAATGGTATCAAATATCTAAATTTCTTAAGGGGTTTTATAAAAGTTAGAAATTCTAGTATCATGACAAGACCACTTCATACAATAATCAATTTTGAAATCTTTCAACCAAATCCTAAAAAAAAAAACAACTCCAGATGAAATGCATAACTTAAACCGTTCACAAAAAAGAAAATGCAAGCAAAGTGAACGGCAGGTTCTGCGCTAAAGGAAATCTTTTGAAATCTCGATCTCAGACGCCAAAATCGTGTCTAAAACCTTTCAGTGAGCTCTTCATACGGTGCTGTATACACAGGAAGACAAATAGAAATGAATTCTGCTCACAATTTCAGCTTGAGAATTTCAAGACGCAGCTCGTCCAGGCTGTGAAAAAAGCCCATAAAGACTTCCCCATCCCGGGACGAGCCAATGGCGTGCTGATACTGGAGCGGCCGCTCCTGATCGAGACCTACCTGGGCATCATGTCCTTCTTCAAAAACAACTCCAGATGAAATGCATAACTTAAACCGTTCACAAAAAAGAAAATGCAAGCAAAGTGAACGGCAGGTTCTGCGCTAAAGGAAATCTTTTGAAATCTCGATCTCAGACGCCAAAATCGTGGCTAAAACCTTTCAGTGAGCTCTTCATACGGTGCTGTATACACAGGAAGACAAATAGAAATGAATTCTGCTCACAATTTCAGCTTGAGAATTTCAAGACGCAGCTCGTCCAGGCTGTGAAAAAAGCCCATAAAGACTTCCCCATCCCGGGACGAGCCAATGGCGTGCTGATACTGGAGCGGCCGCTCCTGATCGAGACCTACCTGGGCATCATGTCCTTCTTCAACAATGAAGCCAAACTGGGCTACGCCATGACCAGGGGGAAAATCGGCTTTTAACTCCTGAAATCTCCCTCCATCGCTCTCATCCTCCAGTCAAGTGCTGTTTTTGAGTGATACTGCTATACTTGAGTATGTGAGTCCAGTACATGCTGCTTGTTTTGTTGTTTGGATGTATATAGCGTGTGAAATGTGCCCGGCGGTGAGATGTGTGGTCACTGCAGCAGGATGTGCCTGGATGAAGCCCTCTTCCTCTATTCACATGTGGTAAAGAAAAAAAAGCCTTTCTAATGCGTTCGAATGGTTTGGAGATGCAGTGTGTGTGTTACTGGCAACGATTTGACCATTGATCACTATCTCTATTAAGTCCCTACAAATGGCGTGCCCTTTTAAGGGCGCAAAAAAGCCATTTGGAATTCACCCTAAAGCTCACAACGCTTGCCCCGCCTCCGGGGTCTTCTGATTGGTCCATTGTTTTGGAACTGACATTGAGCGGCACTGTGTGTAAAAGTTTAAATTCTTTTAACTTGACACAGCATCTTAAAAACGTGGCGCTCATGTGCGACACGCTGCAAAAGATATTGCATATGTTGCATTCTGAACATTTTACTTTGACATACTGGACTTCGGTCAAAGTGGCGATGAAAATCCGTCCAGGCAAGCATTTCCCAAAAGCATCGTGAGCTAAATTGATCATAGAGACCGCTGGTGCCAATGGTTCTACAGTCTACTTGGGCTTACGATGCTTTTGGGAAGTGCAGCCCGGATCTTTTCATCTGTGTTTTGATGTAGTGTAAATTCGTTAATCCGAGTGTAATGGATTAACGAAAAGGAAAAAATATAGGGTGTGAATTTGGCTCTATGCATGGGTTGTTGATTGTATTTTGAGAAGTGGGTGTTTGCGGAGACGGGTTTAAGTGCACTAGATGATCTGAGAAGTCTGCTCACTGGAAGGTTCAGTTATGACATTTTGATTAAACAATACAAGCTCAAAAACAAGAAATAAAATAAGAACCATATGCACAAATGAAATATTCATGGCAATGATCTATAACAGAGGTGGGGAACTTTGATCCTGGAGGGCCATTGTCCTGCAGAGTTTAGCTCCAACCCTAAAAAAAATACCTACCTGTATCCTGAAGACCTTGATTAGCTTGCTCAGGTGTGTTTGATTAGGGTTGGAGCTAAACTCTGCAGGGACACAGGCCCTCCAGGATCAACGTTCCCCACCCCTGCTCTATAACATGCATTTAGAAAACAGATTTCCATTTCATGGCAACTTTAAATACCAGTGGAGTTAAAATGGTGTACTTCATGAAACACAACCAGAACAAATTTTTGTGAATTTTTCAGTTGAATCATGTAAATTTCAATATTTAATTCCATGTCCACAATTGATCGCAAAACAAAAATAACATTTTTCTATGAATGATTTGCATGAAAGTTTGTTTCATGAATGGGGTCCAATGTGGGCTAAAAAGGTTTTAAAACTGCATGCCTTTCTGAACAGCACTACTATTAAATAAAAACTAAGGCTTACGTGACGTAAAATGCTCTTATTTTCCTCTGCACTGCAGTGCTTTTATAAGGTTTGAAACTCTCTGAATAAAGTTGATTTGGACTGTTACCGAACATAACAATTTAGGTTTTAGTACTCCTATTGCTTACATAAATGAAATCTCTTAATTTTAGAATTATTTAGATCTAGACCCATGAGCCTTTACATTTAATACAATCTGCGTCTGTCTTTGCAAAATGAAAGCCAAAATAATGTTTTGCATAAAGAAAATGAGCTAAATTCTCATTAATGTAATGTGAAAAATATATACAGTATATATAATTCTCAGTGTAATAAAAATTTAAATCAATAGTATCAGCATAATTTAATATTTAAAATCAGCATTATAACTCAGGCAGGATTTATATCCCAAACACTGCTACTAATATAAGGTCAAATTGCAATTTATGCAATGTGTCAAATAATGTTTGTAATAGAACACCGTATTGTCCGCATGATATCTTCAGATATAACGCTGGCTTTAGGTAACACACCAAAAAGCATGGTAATATAGACAGGGGACATGTATTCTCAAGTGTGTCCACTTGCCTGACATGTATTTTCACACTCTGTTCTTATTTCAAAGTGAATTTCGGGTCTTCTTGTGGCTGCTGTAAACTCGTACTACTGTTACATGTGCTTTACCTACAACTCATGTTTGCGTGCTTTATCCATAATTCATGCCTCATTTCTTTAACCTAAAAGACGATGTTTAAGTCCTGCCTAATTTACAGAAAGTTGAAATGAAGTTAACCAAGGCAAACAGCTAGTGTGTTTGATACTGTTGATTCCTCAGGTGATGTTGGTCAACAGATTGGCTTTTGTTTAAGGATGCACGACACGGCGGGACGTTCTGAACTTGAAGGTTTCCTGCTGTTGAGCGATTACGGGTTCAGAGACTCTGAAGTATTTTTCACGCATATGCACTTTTGTTGGCCAATTTCTGTTTCTTTTTTTTGGCTATACATAGAGAAATAGTTGTAACCTTGTTGAAATGATGTCTGTTTTTTTTTAATACAGGCATCAGTGTTTTTTTTTCTTTCCTATATTTGTTTTAAATGTAATGTAAAGTTGTGCATGATGGTTATGCCTGCAACTTGTTAGATGTATAATTTGTTAGCCATAGCCTCAATTCACCAAAAACAAAATCGAAGCACCTTTTCCTCTGTTCAGAAACACATGTAATTGTTTTTCCAAGTAAAAATTCTTTTTTATTTTTTAACTCATCCATGTTATTATAGTAAAATATTGTTTGTGTTACCCAGATCAAGCCTAGATCTGAACTCCTCCAGGTTTGTTTAAATTGAATTTTTGAAATCATCTTTAAAAATTGTTGCCTGGATTTCATCACACTGGATTTATGTAATATAAACATCATGCTTTAAGTAAAATTATGGTTCTTTTAACACTTTTTTTTTTTTTTTTTTTTTTCCACTTGTCTTGTTTTTACAAAATTGTGAGATTAAGCACAAGTCCACATAAATTGTCATTAATTGGATGCAAAACAATCTTAATTAAATCTAAATGAAAGTATTTATAAATCTTGGTATTATTTATAGTATTAATCGTATTTAATTCCTTAGTAGTCTATTACAGTAATACTATTTGTGAATTGTTCTTGACAGGTTCACCTGTAATCTCTGTAGAAGAAAGCCAAAACCTATGGGAAACATCAATGTAGAAACCTTTATTACAAATAGCGCTAACTTTATAAAAATAAATCTAGTTTTGAAACCTTAAACATTAAGGAAATTGTCATTCACAACCATTCACATTCATCTGAAAAAACAACAAAACCTTCAAAATCACATCAAGTCTAAAGTGACATAAATGTGATGTGTTTGTATAATATATTTGGTCCTCCAAACCCGTTATTTAGCTTGTCTAAGGCCATAAAGAAGCAGATGTGAGTGAAAGCATCGGCTCATTTGCACTATGCTGGTGCTGGAGAATCACACATGCTATATATCTGTACTTGAGAACACAAAACCACATTTCATTCCCTCACAGACTATTACTCTCATTATAGCATGTGCTCTATCGAAAATCATTTGTGTCAAGCTGAAACAAAGTTATAAAAACCTCACCTGAAAACTACACAGAAGTGTATTTGTAGTACATTTGTAGACAGAAACAGTGTTTAGCCTCGAGTTCTTTGGAGAGCAGATCTCTTACAGGATTGCAGAAACTGCTCCTGTATTGTAGAAGCAGGCTCTGGGGAGTGTGATGAAGAGCTTTGGTTTATTTCTCCTCCTCTGCTTCCATGTAACACAGGCAGATGTGCTCTTTTGAGAGCAGCACCAGTGAGCTGCCACTGCAGTGCCAAAACAGAGACTGCACCTGAAAACTGCCTGTGAGGAAACACAGAAAAAGAAGTTAGATGTTTCCTTTGATGCAAGCAGCTTCCTGTATTGTTTCAGGGGAAATGCTTTTCCTCAATCTGGTTTCAAAACAACTATATGTGACCCTGAAACACAAAAGCAGTCTTAAGTCGCTGGGGTAAATTTGTAGCAAAAGCCAAAAAAAACATTGTATGGGTCAAAATTATAGATTTTTCTTTTATGCCAAAAACCATTAGGATATTAAGTAAAGATCATGTTCCATGAAGATATTTCCTACTGTAAATATATCAAAACTTAATTTTTGATTAGTAATATGCACTGCTAAGAACTTTTTAGCAACTTTATGCATTGATTTTCTCAATATTTAGATTTTTTTTTGCACCCTCAGATTCCAGATTTTCAAATAGTTGTATCTCGGCCAAATATTTATTTATTTATTCAGCTTTCAGATGATGTATAAATCTCAATTTAAAAAAATTGACCCTTATGACTGGTTTTGTGGTCCAGGGTCACAAATATGATCTGAAGTTGTAAAAAAGGCTGATAGAATCAAAGCAGTGTCTGTGCATCAATTAAATTGTATATTAATGCAAAAAATAATTTCCTTATAGAATGATTTTTGTCTTTATCTTGCTTGATATCAGTTATCAGCCTACAGTGAGACTAATGAATGTTGGAAGAGTTGTTAATGGATGCACTGATCTATTAAAATTCAGCCCAATACGAAAAGCTGATAATAAGCTTTAATGCTAAATGACAAATAATAAAAATGTATAAAATAACGTACTTTTTTTTTCAGTACAAATACCTTAAAAAAACAACTTACAAACTAAAATCAATCATTTAAAATGCAACATGTGAATTCAGGCATCATACAAATAAATGGATATTCATTTCAAGACTTAATATTACATTAACTTGACTGAGAATCAGATCTAAATCTAAAAATCACAATCTAAAAATATGGGAAATTAACATGTACAATAATAAATTAAATATAACATATCGACTGATACCAATAAATTAAATATGATCTAAATAAATTAAATCAGCCAATAACTGAGATGGTAGCAATAGGTTGTGCATTACTAAAATGTATTCATGTAATTATTAATACATTTAAATTCAAAAATCAGTGGAGATTTATCATCATATGTTTTTCTAATGAATTAGTGAATTAATAACTTGAATTAGTTAATAAACTAATAATGAATTAAAGAAGTGCTATAAGTATTGGCATACAGTACTCACATAAAGCGATATACAATATATAAATCTAAACTGGCAGTTTTTTTTTTTGTCACAAAATGTGGCTATATAATTATTTGTTTAAAGTTCTATACAGAAGTATGTCCAGCTTTATTTGCATACATACAGTATACTCACGTAGGGAAATATACTGTATATCACAGCATACCTCAACTGCTTGATTGCTTGTATCGCTGCAAAATGTCAACAATATTATCGTCCAGCTCTAATGTGCTAAATGAGACTAAGGCATGAAGATATTAAGATTTAAAAAAAAAAAAAAAAAAAATTGACATGTTTTTCTGTAAAGCTGCTTAGAAATGATCATGTGTATTGTGACAAGAGCTATGTAAATAAAACAAGTTGATCTAGATGTGATAATGCATGTGAAATAGTTTTCCCTTTTTAAATGTTTTTTAAAATGTGAAACAAAATAATGATGGCTTCTCATTTTTGTGAAAGATGCAGTTTCACCAAGAGACAGACTCGTCTTGTATACAATGCTGCTAGTGACATAATGTCCTGTGTTTGTCATTAATATTCAAGGAAAAACATATGAATAAATCTTGTCATAGAGGGAAAAAAATATTTTTAACACATAGCTTCATGGCCAGTAAAATAATTTTCATAGCAGGAAAATTTAGCCACAACTAGTCATTTTGACCAGTAACACACAGCCGCTTGTTGCTTTATTATAACACACAGAACTGTATGTGCTGGTCAAGCAATGGAGTAAAAACTTGTTTGAATGTAATGCTGAGGTATGCAGTGGTGAAACTGGATCCATACCTTCGACTGGTGCATTCACAGACACGCAGCCAGCTGGTGACCACAGATACACTTTGGTGTTTCCGGTGCAGAGAGCCAGTCGAGGTCTGTGTGGGTCCCAGACAAAGCAGCGCACAGGAGCTGTCTGCACCAGGACAGCCAGCAGACTGAGTCTCAGCATGTCCCATACCCACAGGCTCTGAGGCATGTTATCTGACAGACGTTAGACACAGCGTCAGTGGAAACCAACAACAACACACGAGCCTATGAGCCACAGTTGTCAGGACCTCTGAATAGGAAGAATAATGCAAGGGACTTTCCTAAGAAGCAAGGACACCAAATGGCTCTGAAAACACGATCCAGGTTGGCACTGGCAGAATGTAATGGTTCTCACAATGGCTACTATTGCCAACTGAAGGCATGGAGATAGAGGTGAACTACACAGCTAGGCGGAGTTGTTCCCACAGTCACTGAAAATGTTTCTGTGCACTGTAAAATTTTGATTTCTGGGGCTGGAAAAGTAATGGAAATCAATTAAATCTTAAGTAATGGAAATTAACACTAAAGGCAAAAACCATTGTTTTTTTTTTTTTCAGGCACCAGTGAATTTCTGTTCTGAAAAATGAACACAAATGAGTGCATATTAAATAGACAATGGCATTTGCATATTTAAACACAGCATTTTATAAAACTTGCAATACAAAACAATAGAACGGTCATACATTAGTGTTTCACCCTGTTCACCTGTAGTGTGTCTTGTCTGAATATAAATGTTTGCAGATACTCTCGTCTCTAAAATATTTCACTAGCTAGAGACTGCTCTTTGCGATCTATGAAATCTTTCACATGTTTAAAATCTTTATCTAGTAATGTAAGTTATGGAAATTCACATTCAGGATTCATGATTGCCTCACCATTCTTTGTAGCAAGGTAGCGATTATCAGCACTGATAGCCAGAGCGGAGATGCCGATTTTCGGGTTGGCTCGGTCTGGATCGGGCTTGATTACTGGCACCTGGGCTGGCAGTTGTGTGATCTCATCTGAAACAAGGCAAGTCTATCGGATTAAAATGTTAAAGCACAATTTAAATGTATTTCACCACCTATTTCTGGACTAAAGCTTACAGATTATGTGCATTAATGCTACATAAGTGCATTGAAGTTTCACACTTTTGTAGCATTTCATTTTTTACCTTGAAATCCACGTACACATGCTTTTAGAAATGGCACTAATAAAGGTTTAGGTGTTGTACTGGTTTAATGCCGATTGGAACTTCAAAATTATTATTATTAAATTATTTAAAAATACACATAATAGACACTGTATTCACTGTATTTAAAGCGGTCATATGATGCAATTTCAATTTCTCCTTTCTCTTTGGAGTGTTACAAGCTCTTGGTGCATAAAGAAGATCTGTAAAGTTGCAAAGACTAAAGTCTCAAATCCAAGAGATATTCTTTATAAAAGTTAAGAGTCAGCCACACCTACCTAAAATGGCTCGTTCTAACATGCCCCCACATATCTACGAAACTTACACTTGCTCTGTGTGCTAAATAGTGAATTATCCACAGTCAGCTGATGAATAGAAAGATCCTCACTGCCCACAACAGGTCTTTTCTCTACTTCCTTAAACACCACCTAGAAAAGAAAAAAAAACTGCATCAGATTATTCAACTCGAAAAAAGGCAATGACTGTCTTTATTTTTAATATTTTCATATTAGTCTAGTTTGTGCAACCCAGGCTCATTGGAAAAACGTGTCTGTAGTAGTGCAGTCAATTGATTAAAAAAACAAAATAAATTAATAGCAAATTTTTCTGAAATTCATCGTGATTAATCCCACCTAACATTAAAGTTTTTAAATAAACTTTTATATTGCAATAATTTCATTCAATCTTCAAATTAATGTAGAAACACAAAGAACAGTATATTTGTTTAGTAGCATCTTTTTTTTTATGACTGAAGGTGAGTATCACTTATACCAATACTGATGTCTCCATGAAATAGTTTCCCCCCCTAATATTTAACCACTGACTAGCCATTCAACATTACAGTATTATTGAGAGCTATCAATTTTAACATTTATTAGACTTTTAAAAATAACAATTTCTAATTTAAATGAACTTAAAAAAATCTTCACATAAACCCATTATAATAAACGTCATATTTAGCTACCTGTGCCCTTCAGCAGGTAGGAAAGATACAGAAATTGAATGAAGTTATCAAACACTAAATTGTAATTTAAATAAAGATTCATCCTTAAAGCTACAAAAGTGATTGATTTCCTCTTTATTTTCTTTTGTGCTTTGATTAACAGATATCACAGCAGCTGTTATTAGGTTATTTTGGCTGCTATTACTTTTAAGAGCTGCCGCTGCTGAACATGACGTGGATCTGACAGGCATCCTATTTTCTCATAACTCTTTACCTTTTCTGACCCAATTCAGGTCTTAAAGGGTCTACTAATGAGCTGACGAGTTGAATCAGGTGTGTTAGAAGAGGGAGATGGTGCTGGGATATTCCAGGACAGTTTTGAAAAACATTTCAGAGGCACGTTCTTATATGTGACTCCTATAACAAATACTCACATGCATGCACCGTTTTAAAGCTTTAATTGCCTTTATGGTAACTTCATGATCATGACTTTACTGACGACATAACCATGACATTGCATGCGTTGCGCTTTAATATTAAATGATACAGGCTACAGTGCACGCCGCCACATTTGTGCATGCAATTGAAGAGCACGTGCTACGAGCACAGTATAACGGCTGACAGGACAGGGGAAAATAGTTTTTACTGATATGTGGCCTGACAACAGCTTATCTGACCACAGTTCACTTTTCTTCTACTGAATCTACCTCATCACCTGTAGCTTTTTCGTACTTGTTTGACTCGCGCCTGGCGCTGAGGTGAATTTGAAAGTCTAAATAAACGCAATTCATGTCAAGAAAAAATAAGAGACAGAAGCAGCAGTTGTGAGTAGGCTGGCCAACCCTAGCTCCGCCCCTGCGTTAATTACGTTAAATATTTTTAACGCTATATTGAAAAAAAAAACAACAAATAATAATCGCCTGTGTTAACGTGCTAATTTTGACAGCACTAGTCTGTAGTGACATTTATGCAAAATGATAGTACGTTGCTTCAGGGGAAGTCGTGGCCTAATGGTTAGAGAGTCGGACTCATAACCCAAAGGTTGTGGGTTTGAGTCTCGTACCGGCAGGGATTGTAGGTGGGGGGAGTGAATGTACAGTGCTCTCTCCCACCTTCAATACCACGACTGAGGTGCCCTTGAGCAAGGCACTGAACCCCCAACTGCTCCCCGGGCGCCGCAGCATAAATGGCTGCCCACTGCTCCGGGTGTGTGTTCACGGTTTGTGTGTGTTCACTGCTGTGTGTGTGCACTTTGGATGGGTAAATGCAGAGCACTAATTCCGAGTATGGGTCACCATACTTGGCCACATGTCACTTCACTTCACTTCTGGCACATTTTTTTCTGGAGACTGGCATAAAAAGTGTGGTTTGCTTTATCTAGCAATGTTTTATTACATCGTCACACATATTATGGCAGTCTGGATATGAAATATCCTGTGAGTCGCCCTAAAAGGTTAATGCTCAATCGTGTTTTACAAGAAGTACCTAAACGCTCTCCATCGCAAGTGAAATGCTGTGTCAGGTGCGCTACCGAGCAAGTTTACTACGTCAGAAAAGCCATACATATGGAGCTGGTTATGTGATGCAAACTTCAAAATGAATTAGTTTACACGTCATGCACAATGGTAAAAGTGTTTTGAGGTTAACAGTCTCTATTAAGAGACTGTATCTACAGGCAGATAATCTGTCTGTGTAATCATAATTTCTGTGAAAAGGAATAAAAATTGTTGTTCATTTCAACTGCAGAAAATTGTATGTATAGGAATGTTTTTGCACTTTTTCCAATGAGCCTGTTTTGATTTTGTGGGATGTCTGGAAAACTAGTCATCCCTGTATAATTTGGCTGATATAGAGTCATTTGTACCTCACGCCATTCGGACAGGTTCACATAGGCATGTAACTGAAGAAAATAAAGACCGCTACTATGTTTAAGTACACATGGCATCTTAAAGGGGTCCTATTATGCTCTTTTACAAAGTCTTGATTTTGTTTTGGGAGTGTACTAGAACATGCTCTCAAGCTTGGTGGTTCGAAAAACACATTCTTTTTCACATAATTTACATGATTAAAATACCTTTCTCCCCAGGCTGGCACAAACGGCTCGATTAGTTCCGGCTTTGATGAAGGTCCGCCTTCCGAAAAACAAATTGTGTTGTGATTGGTTAGCTGTCCCAGTGCGTTGTGATTGGCGAACAGCTTAAACAGTGTTTCAGCACTGCCCTGCCCCTTGCTCCATCTTTCAACAAAAACTTTTGGGCGAATCCAGCACTTTACTCCCTGGTGTTGTGGAAGCTGTCCTCAGTAAAATGCATAGCACACAATAGCAAATTGGGGTTATAATGCTCAGGAACAGAGTTAAAAAATTAATTGCAACCACTGTTTCCTGACATCATCCACTGACGAAAGCAAAAAAAAGTGGTGGGCACGGAGGTGAAAAAACAGCGTTTCAGGCGGTCGCGCACCGGACGAGAAGCGCAGTGTTGCGTCACGCCACGTCTTTAAAATTAAAATACTTTATTTTCTATGAGTGTAGGCACATCGGCGGCACCGTTCGGTGTCTGTCCCCAACGCCCAGCTACGTCGTGTTATACTTGTAAGAATTGTTCTAGACATGCCGAAAATTTGAAGCTACAGCACAGCACCTCTTCTTCTTTGTTTTCTCTGATGCACCAACTCTGCAGCAGCTCTTCTTCTTCGTCTCATCTGATGCGCTCACCCAACCAAGCGTTCTAACCACGACCTCGCCCCTCCCCACCCCCCAACCATTCGAATCTCCGTAGGCGGGAATTATTTGTAATGATATTCCAATGAGCTGCTTTGTGATATCACAAAGCCCGGAAAACAAACGCCGTAGTCCAAACGAGCCGTTCATTGTAGTTCTTGAAAAGGGATATTTTTAAAACGAAATATCTCCCTTTGGAGTGGACTTTGAGATTTGTAACTTTCTTCTCTTTTAATTTTAGTCAGTGTGTATGTTTGGGCATAAAAAAAAAAGTGAAAAAGCATAATAGGACCCCTTTAAAAATGCTCATAGCCAACCAAAGACATAAGTCTACATGCATAGATAAACCAACAGTTTAAAAAAAAAAGTGTGCATATTCAACAAATACAGAGATAAAGTAGTGGATGTTGTTACACCAGTGCAGATTAAAGTAAAGGTGAGAGTTTTCTCCTCCAGACACCTACAGCTTTGGCGTTTATGATGGTGGTTGGATGCTCGAATTCTGTGATCTTCTTCCAAGTGATATGATTCAGGATCCGAACCTGATGGAAAGCCCATCAAAACTCTCTTTTAAACAGATTTTATTATATAAAACAGATATTTTTCCATCTGTTTCTTGAAGAGATTTCCTACCTTCTCATCGTAACTGCCAACGGCCAGGAACTGGCTGCTGGGACTCCAAGCGACAGACTTTATGCCTAGAGACCACTCATAAGCACTGTAGGAGGACAACAGGCGGCCGTCCAGCGAATATAATATAATTTTATACTGAGGAGAGAAACAGGGTTAATCTGATTAGTTAATACTTCATAATTTTATTCAAATAAAACTGCTTTCATGATACAAATTTAATTCTGTTGACCAATGATAAGAGACATTCAGAACCCTGTCTCTGCATCAGACAAACTGAGAATGAACCGTTCACAGACCATTTGATCTTTGGTCAATCCAGCTGTGAAAGAAGTCATTTGTGAGCATAAACAGTGGTTTTCTTTTAATGTGTGATGGAAATGTTTTATGTAATGGCCTCAGGAGTCAGAAAGGTATGTTCTATATAGAATGTTCAGAAAAGTGCAGACTAATGATGCTCAGATCAAAGAATAGGTATCAACTACAAGGTATATATCTTTGTTCAGGAGTCTCTCTTGGTTGTTGTGACCACGGAGCTCCCGGCCATGAATAAAACTTTATTCCTGCAAAGAGTAATTTGGGAGTCGTGTCTGGTATATGCTGCGCAGCTGAGGAATAGAAGTACTAAATATTCTACGCTCAAAAGACCACAGCAGAGACAGTGATAGTGTTGGAAGAATTTTTATTCAATTTTTATAATTTTATTCAAATAAAACTGCTTTCATGATAAAAATGTAATTCTGTTGACCAATGATAAGAGACATTCAGAACCCTGTCTCTGCATCAGACAAACTGAGAATGAACCGTTCACAGACCATTTGATCTTTGGTCAATCCAGCTGTGAAAGAAGTCATTTGTGAGCATAAACAGTGGTTTTCTTTTAATGTGTGATGGAAATGTTTTATGTAATGGCCTCAGGAGTCAGAAAGGTATGTTCTATATAGAATGTTCAGAAAAGTGCAGACTAATGATGCTCAGATCAAAGAATAGGTATCAACTACAAGGTATATATCTTTGTTCAGGAGTCTCTCTTGGTTGTTGTGACCACGGAGCTCCCGGCCATGAATAAAACTTTATTCCTGCAAAGAGTAATTTGGGAGTCGTGTCTGGTATATGCTGCGCAGCTGAGGAATAGAAGTACTAAATATTCTACGCTCAAAAGACCACAGCAGAGACAGTGATAGTGTTGGAAGACTATAGATCCGTCCTCAGGGTGAGGCTGTAATACTCTGAGTTAGTATTAAAGATCCTGTGTTGGACCAGAAGGACGGTGAGAGAGTTTAGATGCTAAAGACCTGTGTGCTCAGGTGTGACTGAGGTAGTGATAGTAGCTTCTTGACGGGGTGCCGTAACCATAATTTGGGAGGGGAATTACCTCTAAGTATTGGAATACTGTAGTACTGTATATATTAATATATATTGTATTATATTCGGGACGGGAATTACCCTGAGGGTACTGTAGTACTGTACTGGTACTATAGTATTGTATTATATTATATTGATAACTGGAGGTTATTCAAATTGTCAGTGGTGAAGTCAGATTAGTTCTGGGAATTTCCACGAGAAGTGATAAGACAGTGCACCTTACCTCAAGACAGCTGTCCCACACTGCAAGCACACAGCCGTTAGGAGACCACTCCAGCCCAGCCAGATTTTGAGTCTCACTCTCGAAATGCTACAGACAAAATAGAAGTTTACTTATAAACGCCAGCCAAGGTATCCTACGCCAAAAATGTCTTCTTAATTCTTCATGACCATTTTCCACTTTCTCTGATAAAAAAAAACACGCACCCAAAATCCAAAGAAATTGTGATTTTCCTTTAAGAACATTTAGACTTATTTCTCATTCTGAGACTAATGTATATATTAATATTAATAGTTCTTCTTGTTATATTTTTTGTAACAAATGGTAACATTTTAATAATATTTGTTGTACTGTATTGTTCATTGTTGGTTCATATTAACTAATGAAGTTAATTAATGTTGACAAATGAAACCTTATTTTAAAGTATCACCAAATGTTTAATACAAGTATTTGAGAATCAAGTCATCTGAAGTAATACAATGGTATTTTGCCACTTTTACTGATGAAGACAACAGACAAAGGGCGGTAGATTTTTGGAACAGGCACAATAACATACTAGCTTTGATAGCTGCACTCACTCTGAGAAGATGCCAGTTATCACACACAAACACACTGATGTAGTCTTTACACTCCCGTCTCTCGGCCAGAGCCATATAACGGCCGTCTGCAGTGAAGTCCATACCTGAAACACATTTGTGCATTTAAAGCACAAATAGTCAAGCATACACTATAGATATCATGCAAATTTGCTTTTTAGATGCAACTGAGCTACAGTAATCTGATCACTGTATTTATATAAGCATACTGGCTGATATAGCAGTCACCTTGGATTTACACTGACACCTACTGACGTGGATGGAGCATCTCACTAAAGCAAGTTTTTAGTTATCTGTACTGCAAATAATGATATAATTTGATAGCTGATTCAAAATTTGGGGTCAGTAAGATATTTTTTTTATATAGAAATTAATACTTTTATTCAGCAAGGACTAATTAAATTGATCAAAAGTGACACTAAAGACATTAATAACATTATAAACGGTTTCTTTTTAAAAATAAATAATTTTCTTTTGAACTTTCTATTCATGAAAGAATCCTATCTTTGATCAAATAAAAAAAAACTTCTGAACAGTAGTATACCAGTGTTATTTGTATTATTAGTATTAGAATTAGTATCATTAGTACTATTATAGTTTTTATAAATATTTTGAAATAATTTTATTTTTATATTTTCCATTTTCATCGTGTTTTAGTTTAAGGTTTAAGAATTTTGTTGTTTTTGTCATTTTAATTAGTTGTTGTTGATGGTTTTTTCTAAACGGCTATAATTTTTTATTATTAATTTTTATCAGTTTTAGTTATTTCAGTACATCACGGAAATGAGTTATGCTGCATTGAATGCATTTTATATTTAATTTTAATTTAGTTAACATTTATTTCAAATAAAAAATTTTTTTATGGTTTTAGGTTTAGTTAATTATAATAACCCTGTAGTGTGCATATTTAATATTGCTCTCTTTAGCAGCTTTAGTGTAGTTCATTTCCTTTTTCAAAAAGTAGCTTGACTGCTGTTGAACTACTTTACATTATGAGCTATGGTGTCAAAGTATCTTCCCCAACACTGGACGAAGGTCAATTATGTTATGAATGGAATTGTGCTCCATAACTTTGACCCATGACTGCAAACAATAAATGACTAAAATGTTCATAATTCACTCTGTTAGACGGACAACACTTTGCTAGGACAGAAGCACCTTTAACAGGAGTTTTCCATCAGCTGATCTGAAGGTTACAGCTCAATCCTCGAGCGACAGGGGTGACAGATAGCTGAATCCACACGGTGCTGGCCAGTAAATGAGAATCTATGGCAGTAATGCGTGATATGAACTTAATGTCTTCTGGAGTGGGAGTTCACTTCATGCTGACAGGTGGTTATGAGGACTATGTGCCGTTTACCAGCTGTCTGTGAGAGCTCACGTCTGGCTAGACATCCAGGGACGAGACTTATATTACAGGTAAATACCCACATGATTCAAGACCCTGTCCTTACTTCTCCTCTCCCACAAACATTTACAAAACTAGTTATACCTCTGACTCGCATACAATCACTCACCTTTCTGGCAGGCTTTAGGATACTTGATGTAGGATACAGATTTTGTGCACAGGGACCAGACGGTGACTCTCAACTGTGAGGACAAAGAAACATTTTTTTAATGGAAATATCTATTTAATTTAATTATACAAACCCAATTTGCACCTTCAGGTCATCAACAGTGAAACACAGGTCTGTGGTGTACAAACAGGTTTAAGTGCCAGAAAATACCCATTATACCTGTCAAAAAAGAACTTTTTAAAAAAGTTAATCTCAAATAAAGTCCAGAAAGTTGCAAACAAATTCTATTTGGATTAATTCAAGCCTTCACAGATTACACAAACAGCTGACAGTATGGAACATAATGATGTACATTCATTCCAAGGAAGAGGCCAATTAGGAGAAAAATATATATTCACAGTTGGGAATGTTTTGTTGCTATTGGAAATTGGAAATTGAAATTATATATAATAATTTGAAATTGAAGGGTTTCAAAATTAACACCTGCCAACCCACAAAAATGCCGGTGAAAGTCATATGTGGCACGTAACTCATATCAACTCGTTAGACAGATCGGCATGTCCTCCAACATAAACTAAAACCACTAACTGAAAAATGTAGAAGCTAAAATTGCTGGTCAGAGAAAAAGTAACATTTGAAACCATGAATACAAACATAACTTCAAGTTGTTTCAAACCTTTTTCATCATGGAACATTAGGACTGAACACTAAGTGGAATATAGGAAAAGTTGGCAAAAGATGGGCACATGGGTATGGAAGCACTAAAAATAACCCACAGCATCTTGTGCTACTAACAGACATCCACAAGACATTGCTTGCCATGAGGTGAAGAGACACGGTGAAAAGCACACAAACTGTTGCCTGCCATTTAATAACTTTCTCTGACGAGTTGGCTATAATGAGTCAAAGAAGACATGTTAAAAATCTTGGCTGATACTACTTCCGGTTCATCCATCTCACAAGAAATAAAACATCAAGTCAAATGCATTGTGGTGAAACATTAGTAACTAGTATAAAAACTAATGAGAGTGTGTCCTACATCAAGTACATGAGCAGTACTGAGGTCTGAGTAAAATGTTTTCATATTCGCTTTTACAGTTGTTTATGAACAACTGCTGTTCTAGTCTATATTTTCCAGGCATCAGTGGACTGTAAAACGCTAAATTAAGCTTTAGCCAAGAGTATTATGTTCTTACATGTACACAAGGCAGTAGAACAGACCAGTTATTGTGGCTACAAACTCAAGTAAATGTGCTTCTCGTGTCAACACCTACTCAGTATTCAATAAACTGGTCTGCCATGATGAAAAACACAGCTCACAAAGTTTGCAGATGCCAACACATACAGTATTAGATATTGTTCAGCTGACATCCTCTAGGTGGCACACTAGAGTAGCAAGCTGACTTGAATGGCCTGTGAATTCAGTTTTGTCTTAATTTTCAAACACACAATGTTTCAAACACATTGCCCTTAGACACCCTTGATAAGCAGCTCTATAAATGACCATTCATAAATACTGGATGTGCGGTCATTAAAGCGGATGGATAGTGTACTGTTCATTTATGGAAGCCTGTAACAGAGATGTCAGATGGAAGACAACAGACAAATGTAAGAATCCCAGACAGACAGACACTTCATTCCAAGAGCACGGCAAACACACACATACACACAGCTGTCCAGCATCTCGACACCTGTCAGTAATTCTTGGAATCAAGTTCAGGCGACAGACGACTACGCTGGCTCTCGGCCCAAGTGTAATCCAGACAGACAGACAGACAGAAAGAGAGGAGAGAGAGTGGCATTGAGATCTCATAATACACTAGGGATGCACGATATATCGGCCACCATATCGGTATCGGCCCATATCGGCTCATTTTTTCTGTTATCGGTATCGGCCTGATAAGAAAATTTGGCCGATATCTTAAAGCCGATAAATAATGCATTATTTCCTTCAGAGACACTTCAGATGCGCGCTGTTCGTTTGCAGCCTTTTGTGCAATTGTACATTGTAATATTGTGTTTATTTGATGTATATCTGATTTATCTCATATAGAATGCGTTTGGTTAAGTTAAAAAGAGCGCTTCAGTTTACCGGTGATCATCTTTAGCTCAGCACACGCAGCCCAAACAGCAGTGCACAACATTAATAACTATGATTGGGAATGTCGTGTATATAACATTCTAATGAGAACATTATTATAATAAAACGTTGTGAATTCTTTGGGTTTAGTTGCCGTGTTTCAGCGCGTTGTTATGGGAAGAGCGCATCCACAACAGGATCACACATTCTGACTATAGCATGCAATAACTGCGTCATTTGTCATTTCATATATAAGTTGTAATATTATGTTTATGTTGTATTAATATTAATCTCAGGATGCATTTCCTTGAGTTAAATAAGCTGCCAGCAAAACGCTTCAGTTTACCGTGTTCATTCAGCTCTTCAGCTTCAGCTTGAGCTGCAGCTCAATGGCTGCTATTTAAAACAGTGGTATTAATTTGTTACTTTTTCAAAATCATTGATATATTATTAATAACAACAACCACTTGTATTTTTCTCTTATTATTTTCATCAACAATATGGTTTAGTAATTAAAATCATTTAATTATTGTCCGTGCAGAGGCTATTCCGTTTTATTGATCTGTGGCGCATTCATTTTGATTCTTTACATGTGTAATGATGTCCAGTGACTTGTTTGCATTATTTATGCATAATTTTATTTATTTGTAAGGCTTTTTTATGACTAAATTTGGTAATGGGAGAGTAAAAATATTTTTAAAATGTACACCGTTCAAACTAGGCTGCTTATGTTGAAGTGTTTGGGATGTGGCTTTTAATGATGAGACCTTTTTTGTAATCAGGCTCTCAAAAAGTATATAACAATTTGGATATAGATTTATCGGCCAACATATCGGTTATCGGCTTTCAAAAATAAAGAATAATCGGTTATCGGTATCGGCCAAAATTTTCATATCGGTGCATCCCTATAATACACTACAGTTTAAAAGTTTGGGTTCAGTAGGATTTTTTTTTGAAAGAATCAATGATCACACTTTAATTTGGGGACCAAATTCTCACTATTAACTAGCTATTAACTATGACTTTAACAAACTCAAAATTTGCTGCATATTAATAGTTAGTAAGGTTAGTTTATGTATGAGGTAGGATTATGAATATGGTCATGCAGAATAATGCATTAATGTGTGCTTTTTAAGTACTAATTAACAGCCAATATGCTAGTAATATGCATGCTAATAAACAACTAGTTCACAGTGAGAATTGGTCCCTAAACTAAAGTGTTACCGAATTAATACATTTCTTCAGCAAGGATGCATTAAATTGATCAAAAGTGACTGTAAAGACTTTTACATGGTTACAAACGATTTCAAATAAATTATGTTCTTTTGACCTTTCTATTCATCAAATAATCAAGAAAAAGATGCATCACAGTTTCCACAAACAATATGAAGCAGCACAACCGTTTTCTACATTGATAATAATAAGAAATGTTTCTTGATCTTCATATTAGAGTGATTTCTGAAGGATCATGTGACACTGAAGACTGGCGTAATGATGCTGAAAATACAGCTTTGATCACAGAACTAAATTACATTTTATACTATTACAATAGAAAATAGTTTTTAATTGTAATATATTTAACATTATGTAACATGTATTTATTTGGTTTATATTTAATCATCTATTATTCTTGATGTCTTCATGGTGTAATCCCTGGGTTATTTTGACTTGGCTACCCTTTCAGTATTTTTTTTTTTCAATCTTTTTCATTATTTTGTTTCCACTTATTTCTGTACATTTAAATGTACTGTACTGTTGTTTCCCTTATTGGAACTCAGGTTTGTTGAAGTGTATGCCTTCCCAGAAAATTAAATAAGAGCTAAGGGGAAAAAATCCTGTATTTTTGATCAAATAAATGCAGCCTTGGTGTACAGAAGAAACTTCTTTCAAAAACATTACAAAATTCGTACAGACCCCACACGTTTGAAAGGTAGTGTACATTCAGAATCACATGTAGTGTCATTTTTCATTCATGTAGATAAAACAAAACACACCATCATATTTTGCAGATAGTACTATTAGTCCACAATTTGGTATTTTTTGTTATTTTTGTACTTTATGTCTCACGTTTTGCGTATTAACCTGATCATAAGAAGTAATTTTCGGAAGAACAGTATTCAAACGCTCTTTTCTGACCGTGACCCACTGCATGAATCAACTGAGAGTTGAACTCAGTCCTGTGCATGGACTGTCTGTTATTTTCAGGTCTTTATTTATGGGCAGCAACAGTTGACACGGTGCAGAACTGACCCCTCCTACCGCCGTACTTACATTGAACTCAGTGGTGTTGAGTACGTGTCGCCCGTCAGGACTCCAGCGTGACGAGACTAGACCAATCGAACCCTCGTCTATCTTACAGTGCCAGTCCGGCTGCTCTAGAGACCACACCTGAGAGAGCGAATACACAGCAACACAAAGTCCCTTCAGTAACAAACATACCTGAATCCTGTCGCCCTGCTGAATGGCTCAACATGAAAGACTGGCGCTTGCTTCCCTTGCAAAGGTAAGCTGATTTTGGGTATAAATTGAATTAGGAGATTTTATGTAGTTGTTGAAAAAGTGACAAGTAGAGATGTGACACCTCAGATCATGTGTCCTGTTGAGAAGTATGATCTGACTTTTCTAAGACCTTCTGGGTAAAACGCAATGGGCAGCTTGTCTTACCTGCACTAGTCCTCTTTTGTACATGGCACAAAGGATGAAGAGGGAGTCGGAGGACCACTCCATGTGCATCACCGGGTCCAGGCATGTGTACAGGTGCGCGATCTGAAGGCTGTTGAAATCACGGACCACCAGGCGGTACTGAACACAGGTGGCCTACAAGCCCAAATTGAATGTGGTGATTAAATAGATAGAGTATGAGCATCGAGATAGTATGCTATTCCAGTCAAAATGTCACATGAAGATGTTGATGGCTGTAAGAAAAACATCTTACCAAATATTTCCCATCCGGAGAAACTTTGCACAGTTGATTGGACTGCTTGAAGACCTCGGAGAAATTCATGCTACAGGAACCAACAGTAAGTCTTGAAAGACACATATGAAAATGTAAATCTAAATAAATATACATTAAAATATGTTAACTATTTTACAGTTACTGTGTTGATGCATACTTTTTAAATGTTGACAGTAACATACTAAACCAAGATGTTCACTTTATACCTCACCACAAAATCAAAAGATGTCATATTTAAAAAAAATTAAAGTAATACATATATTTGGTAAATAACTCCTATTTAAGGAACACTCAGATTTCAATACATTTACTTACATTTTATTTGTGATTCTCATCAGATTCACACTACTGTAATTAATCCAATGACAATCACCGCTCTAATTAATAACAATATTGACGTTTTTAAATCTCAATAAAGCAGAATAAAGGCTGCAAATCAGCAGGAAAGCATGTAAGTGTATTACAGATATTACCATTATGCACTCACACTTAAGTCATGTTCCTAAACATGTCTCATGCGAAATATATTTCTTATTCTAGCTGTTGATTTTGGGGTGAAGTATGACCCGGACACGACAGGCTGGCAACGCGAGGCAGGTAACGTTAGTAACGGTTGTGTGTTAAACCTAGCATTTAAGACAAACCCTAGTCTTTAAAGTGCTTTTCGAGTATGTCAAATCCTGAATTTAATAACAGCACGAATATTACAAAATGATTCGGTTTTGAAAACAACAAAATGAATCCGTACATTCTCTTTTATCGGGCTTAACGGCTCCGTGTCAGTTTGCTTTTTAAGTTAAACCGCAAGGTTACACATCTAATGTCTGCGTTAACAGAATACTCTCTGTACGCGTTCGAACAGTTTACCTTTCTCACTTGGTCCGAAGAGTTTTTTGGTCAATTATTAAGACATTTGCGGTATAAAACATAAAGTTTCTCTCAACCGAGGAGCTCTAACCGAATCGCTTGTTGTTTCGGAAGTGACGTGAGCGAGACCGGCACGCTGACGGCCAATCAGCGCCGCGCTTCAGCGGCGGAGTCACTGGGGGATTGTGGGAAATGATGTTTCATCGTTTATTTTCTAGATTTAACAATAAATATGGCTTAGGCCGAGTAATTGTATGACTTGTCTGCATTTTATGGCTTTATCCTGCATTTCAAAACAAATGCAAAAACGTGCTGTCAGGAAAGGCAGGTGAAATAAATCGATATCTACGATTCTGTGAGGGACAGTTGTAGTCTGGGACTACAAGACTGAGAATGAGAATGAAGTGAATGAGTAAAGTGAGAGCGTCAGTGTCAACCTTTAACCTGTTAAGTGTCACCGGCCCACCGGTGGGCCCACAGCCATAACATAATTTATTGCCTTTTTACTCTATCAAAAATTTTATTGTTGACTGTCGTGCGTATCTTTCAGTGAAGCGCGGTTCTGCGATCGGCAGTAAATCTCCATCCAAAGGCCAGAGGGCGCTCTCGTGCTGAAACCCCAAATACACCTCGCAGAAGAAACCCGCTGCAGCTGAATAAACAGAAGATTCAACTGCTTTCATTGATTCAACATGACTAATAAACACACGACTACGACAAGATATGGTTTATCCGGGTTCATCTTATTATAATGTTTATTATAATAAAGTATATAATAATGCAATGATAATCGACATAGCCTTTATCACTGCTTATATACTATGAAATATGTTGCGTGCCTTATTCTGTGTAAGAAGCCACATCATCTCACAGAAGGATTTATTTCAAACACTCGACTGACGTTATGAAGTGAGTTTGGAGTAAAAACATGTTATTAAATGTGGTATTTTCACGTGCTTTCAGATGGAGCAGCATTTACTTCACAGAGCCATAGTTCACTGAGAAGCTACGCAAACAGCTGTCATTATCGCAGAACGATTTCTTAGATTTCATAATCGCGCGATTAAATCATCTGCATATGAACGTGATTTTGCGTAACTTGTCAGTGAACAAGTTACGCAGTGAGCACTAGTCAGTGTAGTCAGTGAGCACTACACAGTGCTCTGTGTAGTAAACGCTGCTCCATCTGAAAGCAGGTGATGGAGATTTACTACTGATCACAGAACCGGCTTTACTGACAAAATGCGCATGACAATCGCATTCGATTAATTGTGCAGCCTTAAGCCTGTGTTATACTTTCCGCGTCCGCGAGTTCGCTAGGGTCCGCTATGGTATGCATGACGTAAAAATCGTCATCGGAGAATGTGCGCGGAGGCTACTGCGCATTGCGCAGGCTGTGTGAAGAAGCCCGTTGCTACTCGAACCTGTACAATCCGTCGATAAAACTATATAAAGACAGCCAGATGTGCAATAACTCTGGGCAATTATTTGTTCACATGTTTGTTTATTGTATAAGCCGATCTACTATGCATGTATGGAACACGTCCGCGGAGCGGCCATCAGCGTATGCTTTCGGAAGTATAAATACAAGTAGTCCGTGTCCGCGCTGTCCGTGTACGCTTCCGGATTGCTCATGCGGAAAGTATAACACAGGCTTTAGTGTCAAGTGTAATATTACAAAATGTATTACGGTATTTTACAATCAAAACTTTTTATAATATTGACAAAATACATTTAGTTGGAAAGGTCTGAGTCTCAAGATTCAAAGAATTTCAAAGGAGTTTGGGTGTCACCCGGTGGCTGTTTGTGGTATAACGCCCCGAATAAAATCTCACAGGAACCTCAAATTATTTTTTTTATATTAACTTCAAATTTGGAATATAACTTATGGAAGCCCGTTTCCGCCACTGAATAAAAAATTAAAGAGGTAATTGCGACTTTTTATCTCACAGTTCTGACTTTTTTTCTCAGAATTGTGAGATAAAAAGTCGCAATTACCTCTTTTTATTATTTTTATTCAGTGGCGGAAACGGGCTTCCATAATAACTTATTTAGACATAAGGCTTTAATGTGATAGTAATTTTAGTGTAAAACCTGTTATGAAAAATATATATTATATTTATATCAAATAAAATAAAAATTGTACAGTGCATTTTCTTTACAGTAAATTCAAACTTGTATTATTTTTATTCAGTGGCGGAAACGGGCTTCCATAATAACTTATTTAGACATAAGGCTTTAATGTGATAGTAATTTTAGTGTAACACCTGTTATGAAAAATATATATTATATTTATATCAAATAAAATAAAAATTGTACAGTGCATTTTCTTTACAGTAAATTCAAACTTGATATTTTCAAATATTTTGAAAAGATTCCACTTCTATAATAAAAGGACGATTGTCTTCTCTAAAAAGAGTTCTTTAAAAAGCGTCCATTAATTATAACAATGTAAGTTCGGATAGTGCACTTTTACTTCTATGTGTTCACAAACGGGAGGTGACACTTAAGAGGTTAATCAGATTAGTGTCTCCCGCTCGTGTGCGCCCAAGCGGCGGCTAACGCCTCCTCCTCCTCCCGTCCTCCACCAGTTCCCCTCCGCATCAAGTGCTCTCACACTCCGCCAGCCTATTACCCTACACCTGCATAATCAGCCTCAGCTGCCTCTCTCGCGTCTGGCCCGTTACTGACAGATCCCAGGTGCGTTTTGTTGTTCAGTGGCTTAATTCGCAGCTCGCTTGCTACTAGTTTGCGTTGCGAGGGTCAGCTGCAGGTCAAGGAAACTGAGTTTGGGGTCCAGAGAACATCGCATTAGGTTGTTGCAAGCCGGGCATATAACTTGTTTGGTAAGTAAATGCAATATAAATATAGTGTGTATGGTTTGTTAGAACTCTTCGCCCTATAAAAAGGCGAGTTTGCGGGAATAATACTAATAATACAGAGAGCTCACATTGCTCTAGTTTTAATCATCCACTCCAGTAGCTTATTATTATAGACCAGATCTGTGTTAAGGCGAGCGTAGTTGCATTCAAATTTTTTGAACGTTTATAATGCAAAAAAAAAAAAAAATAGAGTAAATATGTCTAAATCACTCAATTGATCGATTTATTTATTTTTGCATGTACGGATTAATGAATCTTATTTATGCATCTAAAGCACAAAACAATAGGCCACTATTGCGATTTAATTAGTTTGTGTTTGTCTATGAGTTAGAACATCGACAGGCGATGCAGTGGTCAGAGTTCACTGTCTGTCAGCATGTACAGTAGACTGGATAAGAGAGATGCGCTTCAGAAGAGAGTTTTTTTATTTTCACATGTGCATAATAATTCATTAAGCTCCTACCTCCTATTAATCTGTTTATATTTCTTCATCCACTAGTGTAATGTATATTATCCCTATATTATATATATATATATAGTAGATTATATTATAGGCTATTTAAATTATATATGTATGCAGGCTAATTGTTAAATATTGTGTCTGAATAATATATGGCCTACTCTAGGATAACAGTAAAGAAAATATAAACTAAATTAAAACGACGAAAGCATATATTATGAATAATATCGTAGGCTAAAATGCTTTTTAAATCCGATTTAATGCATTTTCAGTGCAGCAGGGCGTGAGGTGAAATGTGTCAAGGTGGCTGTTTTAGTTCAGTCCTGCGCTGAATGCAGTTATGCTCGCGCGAAAGAGTTTGTAGTCTGTATGAATACAATTTTTTAATTTCCCAATCATTTTGGGCTCCTTTGTTTAAGGAGTAACAGCACTTTTCGTCCGTGCCGCATTATTAGCCGGTCCATGCTGGCTGTGGCTGATCAGTTGTTCAGCTGTTGAGCGCGAGCTTCGGTACGATACAGCTTCACTATTAATAAATGCAAGGCCTTTGTCAAATGATAATTCAATTCTCCGCTTGAATCCCTGATGTGTGTGTGTGTGTGTGTGTGTGATTGCTGCAGAGCTGTAACTCCTCTCAGGTGGCAGCTGTCTCGGGAATACAGGTCAACATTAGTAAACATCCAAAATTACGGAGAGTGTATAAAAGTTATTTTAGGATAATAGAAGCATTTAAGGGCAAAAGATGGTGGATAATGGATAATATGTGATCATAGATTAGTGCTTTCAGTTTTGTCGGAGTAAAACATGATTTAGCTTATGCACCTTTCACAGCAAGGCCGACACCGCATGAAGACACTCATATACGAGAACGTTTTCTTTATTATTATTATTATTATTTATTGATTTGTTTTAAAATGAGCAAATTTAGACTTCTGTTTCATTTTAAATTAAGGGGTCATGGCGAAGTTGTCACAAGAATGATCTCTGTTTTGAGTATAATTGACTATTTACTGGCAAAATGTTGGTTTTAAACATTTCTAAAATGACAATAATTTTTGTTAATTGTGTTCTCCAAATTACAGTTATAATATCATCATATTTGTTTTGTAATAGCAAAACATGTGAACATATGGAACCGCTATTCCGAGCTGCAGTTTTTAACCGAAAGGCAGTTTTCTCAACAAAAGAGTGTTTTTCCATAAATGTTAGATACGTGTTATAAATGTATACAATTGATTAAATGATCTTTTACATTTTGCTGCTTGACAATTGTTTTACTATTGAGATCATCAGTGTTGGGGGTAACTCATTACAAGTAACGCGAGTTACGTAATCAGATTACTTTTTTCAAGTAACTAGTAAAGTAACGCATTACTTTTTAATTTACAAGATAACATCTGAGTCACTTTTTCAAATAAGTAAGGCAAGTTACTTTTTTTTCCAATTTATTGATTGACAGCTCTCCTGTCCCCATGTTGAGAGAAATCAGTAGTTCTAAAATAAACATGAATATGCATTGATTCATCTCACTCACAAAAAAACACACAGATTCAGTATTCCTCAAAATGAATAAAAACAATGCAACACAGAATATGACGCGAACCTGCAATAATTAAATGTTAAACAACACAAATATACTTTATGTATTATTAATTATCTATTAACCAATGTCTTTGCTTCTGAGCTTCAATGATTCAGTTCAAGCGTACTAATAAGCACAAATTACTCTAGACGAACATATGTGTCTTTGTTTATTGCTGAAGTGTGTTGAAATGTCTTCTTCTGCATTCTACTGTACGGACGTAACTTTACTTTCCCTTCAGCCTGAGGCTTATTCATTTCACTTCTGGTGTGAAAAGGCTTTTATATTTGCCAAAAATAGAACTTTTTTATTTTAAAAACAAACAAGCAAGCCCTGTCCAGATTTAAAAAGTAACGCAACGCATTACTTTCCATAAAAAGTAACTAAGTATCGTAATTAGTTACTTTTTTATGGAAAAAGTATTTAGTTATTGCTTAACGCCAGGTTCATTTTTGTTGTTGGCACGATTAAGATCAAAGTGTGTTTAATGAACTAAGCTTACTTTATTTACGGTAAGTTTTTTTTCGAACAAAAATGTTATGGATGTTCAGCATATTTTTTTAGTCAAGCCCATATAGACACTGAATTTAAAATACAAACATTTTTAAAAAGCTAGACCCTGACAAATAGTCAGAGGGCTAAAAATATTGCCAACATTTATTATTGTAATTTTTAATAAGGTCAATGCATTATTTTAAATATACTTAATTTACATGCATATGTTATTAAAATGTCATAGGATATGTTATAGGATGCATTTTTTTCAGCTTACTGTGTGGAAACATATAACAGTGTATCAAAAAATAGCACTGTGTTTTTAGTTTTCTTCACATTTATCTCATTACTCAAACGGGCTTGATAACTATCATCCACAGTGTGAGGGATGTTGTTGTTTTTTCAGTAATAATATATTAAGATATGGGTATTTGAGTGATTTATCTTGCTTTTTTCGCTAAAACAATAAAAAAACAGTAGTTTTTTTTCTTACATCCAAATTACATGAAATCATTTGAGTGCAAAATCATGACGAATGTTAATAAACTGCTAATAAATGGCACAACCTGCATTCACATCTGAACTTACAGTAGTTCTTTGATTGTTTATGACATTTTCTAATTTTGTATCAGTGTTTTAAAGTATGTTTCAGTTGGATGGTCCACAACAGCAGCAGACTCACTTTCTGTGATGACTTGTTCTTGTGTGGTTAGGATAGACTCATATAGCCCTCATTTCCTGTGAGTAATATGATGGAGGAAGCTTGTGGTCTGTAGCGCTGTCACAGTGGAGCAGTGCCAGGCAGGTTCGGACACGCCGAGCCTGGCATCTTTATTCTGAATCTGTGCATCCAGCCTCAAAATCTGCGGGGATTCAAACTTCAGAAGATGCGTTGGGCAGCAGGGTGGAAATTACTTTGAAAATCGAATCTTGTGTGTGTTCAGTCTTTAAACAATGATGCAGTTCAGAGAGAGTTATTTTATAGAGCATGAATAAAGAGCAATTATAATGTTTCTCTTCTTCAGAATAAGTGTCTATTATAAAATTGCTGGGTCTATTAATGAATAACGATTATGATTAAAATGTAGAATCATTATGAATGAATGAATGATGCATTTATATAGGAGGATTAAATTTTTATTTAATAAATAATTTAATACATTGCAAATGTAGATTTCATTTATCTCTTTTTCATAGTATTCAGCTCAGTTTGATTAAAAATCCATTTTTAAAGGAATAATTCACCCTTAAATGAAGATTCTGTAATTTATTCACCCTCATGTTTTTGTTTTTTTTAACTCAACTGTGACTTTCTTTTTTTGTGTGTGACACAATGTAAAGACATCCATGTGCTACACTGAAAAAAAAGATGGGAACCTAAAATGGTGACAGCTAAATTAACTGATTTTATTCAAGTCAAAAAAAGTATTTAATATAGCTGAATCAACTTAAATATTTTAATTTATTCCGCTAAAACTACTATTTTAATCACGACAACTCTCGGAAGATTTTAGCATGGTGATGGATATGACAATGTTAATGTATTTGGTCTTGGCGGAACAGATCTGCTACGCTGCTGCTGCTGCATTGCTGCTGCTGCTGCTGCTGGTTATTGCTGTAGTTGAAGATTATTGCTGCTGCTGCAAGCAAGTACAGGAACTTGCTACTGCCAATGCATATGGCGATACGGTGCCGTGAGTATTTAAGACATACTGCTGCTGCACAAATAGCATATAAAATAACTCGTAGCAGATCTATACAGGTGGAGCAGGGGAAGGTGGAGGGTTTCAGAGAAACTCTGAAAGCGCCCTGCAGGAATCTCTAGAGAATGCTAGCCAGCCATATAAATGCAAGGCAGTAAGCTCATTGGCTGCATATGCAGCATGAACCAATCAGCTTGTGCCAAGTCGTTTAACTCTCTGAATATCATCAGTTACGTTAACAACCCATCAGCCTGCGCCATCTAGAGTTTCATGACTAAACTATATATATATGCATATATCATATATGGTATGATATGGTTAAATCAGGTAGAACTATCTATTTAATGTAACAATTGCAGGCTACCACTTTGTGCAGTAGTTACGCTTTATGGTTGTTGGTCTGCAGTTGCATGAATGTCAGTAACTGCAGCAGGTCCTTTTTACGGTGGCCGAGAGAGCTCAATGCGCTGCATCTTAAGAAAGCACATGCAAATAGAAAAGGCACCAGCAAATTAAGAAAACATCTTCATCAGTTCGACAACGCATGTGCTGCAAATACTCACAACACAACCAAATACAGAAATACGCTGCAAATATAGCACAGACAACAATGGAACCCTTATGAAAATTAACCATAGTTTTACTACAAATAAAACCAAAAAACCATGGTTACTATAGTTAAACCATTGTAATCACAAATTAACCATGGTTTTGCTACACTAACCACAGTTTAACCATGATATTTGTTGTAAAACTGTGGGTAAATGGTAGTAAAATATGCCAAAAAACATGATTACTGTACTTTTACTATAACAAAACCATGGTTAATTTTCATAAGGGAAATGTTTTAAGGTGACCCCTACAATGCTTACGAAAATGAACCATGATTTTATTATAGTCAAAGTGTAGTAACAATATGTATTTACCATCTGTATAACCACAGTTGTACAAATACCATGGTTAAACTGTTTGTGTAGCAAAACCATGGTTAACTTCTGGTTACCATGGTTTAACTATAATAACAATGTTTTTTTTCAGTAGTACAACCATGGTTAATTTTTCTAAGGTAAGTTAGCCAGCTTACATAACGCTTCACAGTTACAGTAATTGTGTATTTCGTCTGCCTATTTAGGCTAATGATATCCAAATAAGCTAAAGAATCATATGATCAGGATGTTAAAACAAAGAAAAATCTCACCTTTCAGAGCAAACATTGATAAGCGTGTCCCAGCTAGGTTCGTCGCTTGTTGTGGTTCCCTTAAACATCTCTGATGTGGTCTGTGCATCTGTGCTGCTCTTTTCTGTATTTGGGTGTGTTTGCAGCGCGTTCCTGGTTTTGCAGCGTGCATCCGTATTTGTTTGTGTTGTGAGAATTTGCAGCACATGTGTTGTCAAACTGATGAAGATGTTTTGTTAGTTTGCAGGCGTTTTTTTCATTTGCAGCGTGTTGAGCTCTCTCCTCCACCATACATTTTACTGTACTAAAGGTAGCTTTTGCTTTATGCATGTACGTCTGGTAACCCTTGTTTGTTATGTGATTTTCAGTGTGATCTGCCCTGTGGTGGACTGTCCAACATCCAAGATGTCCCAGTCGTCCACCGCTGATGAGGGTACAACCTTTGAACACTTGTGGAGTACCCTGTGAGTTATAGTACTAATGCAGTTTATGTTGATATTAGTTACAATTTGCACAATTTCAGGATAAACTGCAGCTTTCTTTTTTTTCCTTTTTATTTTGTGAAATGCAGTTGTTACAAAAAATTCTGACACGGAAAGCATTTACACAACCTTTTGATATAAGCTGGAAGGCCTTATATACATTTGTGATTCATGTACCTTCTCTCTGTGTTATTGCAGTGAGCCAGACAGCACATATTTTGAGCTTCCTCAGGCGGGACACTCAGGGGACAGGGTGCCTTCCAGCAGCCTGCCCAGCAACCGCGCTGAAGTCTGCATGGACGTCTACCACATGAGAGACATCAACGACAATGTCATGGTAAGAAGAATCTGCGTGCAGATTTACATAAAATCAACTAACAGTTTTTGGTCCCCACTGACTTCCGTAGTATTTTCTTTCCATACTATGGGGTCAATGTTTCAAATGTTTCGCTATCCACATTTTAAAAATGATCTTCTTTTGTGGTCTACATAAGAAAGAAATATAGCTCATACAGCTTTGGAACAACTTGAGGGTGAATAAATTATGACAGGATTTTTATTTTGGGGTCAACTATCCCTTTAATTCCATGTAATCTCTCAATTAAAATCTGGACTTAAAACTGAAGGTGTATTAATTATACAAGAATTACAAAAATAAAGTGAAGAAATTTAGTGAGAATATAGCAACGTCATGTCAACCTCCCATCTACAAAAAAACACCCTGTATACTGAACAGTGTTGGTTTTCCCTCCTTATCCATCAGGATTCCCTCCTCAGTCCCCAGTTTCTCTCTCCTGTGCTGTTTTTCCCCTCCCTTCGGGCTCTGCAGCATGTGTGAGTGGAGGCTGTAGTGGGAGCTTGTGATGCCTTAATTAGAGAGAAAAGCTAAGCCTGGAACATGACACCTGCTCCTGCCTCCCATCTGGGGCAATCGTCCCGGGAAACAGAGAGCAGGAGACGGGATGGATAGATGGACACACAGAATCTCACAAGATCAAACTTCACCCCAAAATCAAAACAAATACATAAGAAATTATATTTTGCATTAAAAAGGAAGCCTATTCTTTGACCATTAGGATAATTATAAGACATTTAAGCATTTCCCCCCTATTCTCCTTATCGTAATGCATCTGAACATTTTTGTAATTTCCAATATTTTAAATTGTGATTTTCATTTGATTCTTATTACTATATATATATATATATATACTTTCGATTAATACAATTAATAATGCCGTAATGAGGATGCATTTAGCATTTTTTTAAATGCATTTAATTTTTTATTTAATTAGAATAGGGGAAATGTGCTTAAATATTGCTGTAATGCAAAATAAAAAATAGCATATATATTGTGCTAGCTAATTGTCCTAAAATAAAAATAGCATATATAGTTTTTATTATTATTGTTAGTGTTATTTTGGAATGGAATATGACTCAAACATGTTTTGTGAAATTAATTTAATATATATCTTATATATATATATATCTTGTGCGTTGCTTTGCGTTGTCTATGTTTTTGACTTTCTGCATCAGCAGCTCTAGAATTCTGTAAATGATCTGTTCTAGGTCGTATGGATTTTCTTCTCTTTATTGAGATGTTTTGATTGGTCACTTTAGACAAATGTTTTCAAGAATGTATTGATTTGCAGATGTTTGTTTTTCACGTGGCTCTTATGGGAAACTGCTCCAACCAGTTTGTAATCTCTCTTTTGTTTTTCCAGAAAGGAAAGGTGTAGGTAATCTCAAAATTAATAAATATCCGTATATATAAAAACAAAACAATTAACTATCTAACCATCCTCCTTTGCGAAATATGGTATAGTCTAACAGACTAGTGGGCAAGTCTAGGCCTGCTTTTTTAGTTAATGAATAGTCATGAGGCCAAGAAGTGGGAGGGCCAAAGATTTGTTGTTGGCTGCATCTAGAAGCTGACAGGGCAAAGAGAACTGGCGGAAAATCAGAAAAAGCGACTCAGAGTGTGTTACCTTTCCTGGAGTTGTTGTGTCAAGTTAGTTTTTCTGGGAGCGTCTAAAGTGAAGACGTGAGACGTGAAGAACTGAGAATTGCAGAACTCACCTGTGTTTTGGGTGAGGTCACATGACCAGACAGGTGGGAGAATCTCCCCTGTCTTTTGCCTGCCCAGCGGGATCGCTACGATGCTGTGTATCGGTGACCTGCCTCATTACTACAGCACGGTAGGTGTGCAGTTTCTGAACCATTCGATCGATTTTTCGGGAGCAATATTCTTTCTTTGCTCACTGTCTTCCAGATTCATTGTGCCTGGCTTAAACACTTCAGAGACTTTTTTTTATTTTAAAATGTACTTTACATTTTTATTTTATTTTTTATTTTATTTTATTTTATTTTATTTTATTTTATTTTATTTTATTTTATTTTATTTTTATTTTTATTTTTTTATTTTTTTTTTATCATTATATTAAATTACATTTAGACATTGATCTCCTATAATACATCTGTTGAAATAGCAGTCTGCTTTTTTATTGGGTCTTCATTACTAGGTTTGTAATTGATTTGCAAATAATAATTTGATTATAAATGATAAATATACAACTTATAGTAGCTAGTACTATAGATTGCACAGATGCGTGTGCAAATGCTTAATGATACCTCAAAAGATAGCTTTCATATGATCTAAAAAAAAAGAATGCATGTTCATGTACTATTATTAATGTGACTTGAACATGCTGCTTGATAGAAAACCTTCAGCTGTGTTGATGCTATAGCTACAGTACATCTTTAAGATGGACACCTGTTGATGTTTCTTTCTGTGCACAATTTTGTTTCGATTCTTTTAGAGGGATGACAGAGATATTGTTAATTGAACTGAACAAATGCAACATTTGATTGTTTTGGTTCTAGTAATATTTTGTTATTTAGTTCAGTCATCTCACACCTGTTTACAAAGTCCCCCAAAATCTACTTCAGTTCATTAGGTTATTATTATCAGGATTAAACCGAGCAGTTTTAAATAGATGTGATCACGATCATGTCCTTTCAGTTTACAGCAGAGGGTGCTGTTTTTACATGTTAGTACAGTAAATATTTCTGCAGCTCACAGACGCATCTGCTTACTATGTTATGTTAAAATCCGTCAGGTGTACTTTGAAATATATGATAATATATGTAATATACTGTATAAAGACTTGTGGTCACACAGTAGTACAATGAACATATTTCAGCACTGTATGGGGTAAGTTGTCACAATAAAACCTGCCATTAAACCTTATTACAGGCTTTACAGCAACAATTATTCATAAATCGCAAAAAAACAACAACTAGTAAATAAAAAAAGAAAAGGCAAAAAAATATATATTGTAATAAATGTATACTTTTAAAATGTATGTGACAATTTGCCCCAAGTTGCCCAACTTTTAAAATCTGCCTTCATAATATAGTTAAATCTGGTTGAATGAATGTCACGGATGTTAGTTTAAAGGACAATTCATTCATTAAATACAGATAGAGTAAGAGAAAGAGATCAATGATGTTGAATCATTTACTCACACAGACATACACAAGTGCACATAACACATGCATTTTCCCTCTCTCTCTCTCTCTCTCTCTCTCTCTCTCTCACACTCACACACACACATACACTTACACACACACACACACACACAACAATGCTTCTGTACTGTTTCAACTTGTCACAGAGCATGTTTAGACTTACGGATGAGGCACACCTGAGTGTGTGTGTGTGTGTGTGTGTGTGTGGTTGATCTGAAACAGCGCTTCTCACATTATATTGTTTATACAGTTTTTCTGAACTGCTGAAACACATTTCTTGAAACCATCACTCATTTTCTCCAAACCTTCTACACAAATCTAAATACTCAAACTAAATTCACGAAACCACTGACTCTTCCATCAAGATCAAACAATCACTGCAAAACCTTTTCACCTGTACTCAAAATCAAACAGTGCTCTCAGATCTCACACACACACACACACACACACACGTCAATCAAATAAACACTACAGAGCATTCATTAGACACTACAGAGAAAAATGGAGAACACCGCATCCAGAACATTACAGAAAAAAGTATATTGTATTGAGTAAACAATTTTGAATCGTTGTGTGTAAACAATGGCAACTGTGCTTTAGTTGTGTTTAACTTTTGCTGCTTGTGTTTAGCATTTTGCAGCACAAATGCATCACAGTGTGACAAGTGTTTAAGTGAATGAGAATGTGTTTAGAGCTTTGCAAAAAAAGAGTGCATGAGATTTGCAAATAGCGCCTAACTGCCTGAACGTATTTAAGGTTTAGCAGAAAGTGTGCTTTATTCGACAAATTGGTCTAAGCTAGTGATAATTTGGTTCAGAGATTGGGGTTTAGTGTTTTAGCAATTCAGAAAAACTGTAAGAGATGCTTTCTAGAAAGCACCCTATCTGAGGCAAAAACAGAAATCTATTAGAAATCTAGGTAACACTTTACAATAAGGTTCATTAGTTAACATTAGTTAACATTAACTAAGCATGAACAATGCTTCTACAGCATTTATTAATCTTAGTGTTCATTTCAGCATTTACTAATACATTATTAAAATCAAAAGTTGTGCTTGTAACATTAGTTCATGCATTATGAACTAACAACAAACGAACGTATTTTCATTAACTAACATTAATCAAGATGAATAAATATTGTTATAAATGTGCTGTTCATTGTTGATTCATGTTAGTTAATACATTAACTAATGGAACCTTATTGTAAAGTGTTACCAAAAATCTATAATGAGGATATAGATTACACTGTAGACGCATGCAAAGGCAGGTATCAATGTTAGCATTAATGATTCTGTGGCTTGTTGTAGTGGTCAGATTTGCCGTTTTTTCTTAGTGGATGAAAAAACAGGTGGAAAAGTCCCATAGATTTACACTGAAGTAGAGATATTGAGATTTGGGTTGGGCTTTTGACTTGGGCCAGTAAATAACCACTTAGTAACCACTTACCAACCTTGCATTTATGTGCAGAAATTTTGAAAAGGAAGCACCACACGGTTCTAGTTTTCATTTAATTGCATTTTGAAAGCCTCTTCTGTCTACCTTTGAACCCTTTGCTTTATCTTTCTAGTTCTCTTTTCTCCTGTGCATGCTTGAATGGTGTTATTCACACAGGCATGGTCTTGAGAAAGTGTCTTCCGGCAAGTATATACTTGTGCAGGTGTTGTCTGTCTGCCGATATGCCACAGTTAGGACAATGCGTGGTTTCTGACCTCCGTCCCTCTGGACTCCACCCGCTCTGGTTCCTCGTGTCCACGAGGATCCGGACTCCACAGGAGAGAGAACAGGTGATAACGTCTCAGCTTGAGGAGACCTTGAGATGAGTGTTTTACTCACTGTGGTTCCTGTGGGTTCATCAGTGTGTCGTTGTGAAGCCGAGGACATGTGATTCTGTCCGTTTGGACAATGTACTATGTGAAAAAGAAGGTAAAGACTTTTCTCTTCGCTTGACTTGTGTTGCAGTTTGGTTATCTTATTTCACAGGGCTCTGATTGGTTCAGAGGTTTTGTGGGAATCATTACCCATCATGCTTTTTTTCTTGAACTTTGAGTTATTATGTCAAAACATGTCTGCATGATTCAAGTGATAATGTTAGCATTTCTGATATTTGCTTTTATTTTTTGAGGTTTTGAAGATCATTTTATGTCAGATTTATATAATAACAGTGGTTTTTACATTTGATTTGTACATTTGATTTCTGTGAAAGCTTCGGCAGTGAAGCAGTGATGTTGTGCTTGCTTGGATGTTGCTATGCCATTGCTAGGGTGTTCTGAGTGGTTGCTAGGGTGTTGCTAAGGTGTTATGGGTAGTTGTTTGGTGGATCCTTACTGACCCAAGATGAAAGATCCCAGCCAAAGTCTGGTTTTTAGATATGACACTGGCTTCCAAGTCTGAGATTATTTTCCCAACATTTTTTTTTACATGTTGTAGTAAAAAAAGAAAAGAAAAGGCAATAACCCAGCTATCTTCAACAAACTGTGTAATTAATTTAAGTCTGTGCAAATGTATGGAAGCCCATTTCCGCCACTGAATAATGAAATTTTTTTTAAAAAAATGGGAATTGCGACTTTTTATCCAGCAATTTTGACTTTTTTTGACTTTTGAGAAAGAAATTCAGAATTGAGATATAAATTCACAGTTCTTTTTTTTTGGGCGTTTTATGCCTTTTATTTAGATAGGACAGGAAGCGAAGTGGGTGAGAGAGAGAGGGGGGTGGGATCAGGAAAGGTCCATGAGCCAGGACTCGAACTCGGGACGCCCGAAGCGCAAAGGCGCTACATGTCGCTGCCCACGAGGCCATTGGCGCCGACCATAAATTCACAGTTCTGAGAAAAAAGTCGCAGTTACCTTTTTTTATTTTTTATTCAGTGGCGGAAACGGGCTTTCATTCAAATGGTACGGGACGATAAAAACCCCCCACTAACCTTACATATGAATAATAGTGATGCTAACTTTTCTAAACTGTGCTAGAAATGTTCAAAATGCATGGAAATATGAAACAAATAAGCTCATCAGAAGCATTAGAATATATGGTTTGTTACCAAATTAGATCATGTTATAATAATAATAATAAGTTTAATTTATATAGCGCCTTTCCCAATCTCAAGGACGCTTTGTTGTTATCATGCCATAATGTCTTTGTCCAGCTGAGCTTTACTTTTAACACATTTGTTGCACAACACATGGAGACACTTCATAATTTATGTGTGGTGGTGGCGGGTATGATCTGTGAGTTTTGTGTTTGTAAGTTAGAGAAGAGAATGGCAGGCAATTAGACATTGAAAGATTTCGGTTGTGTTTTACAACCTACCCTTCGCCTGGAGGCATGACTCCCTCTCGTACGTCCCAGCGCGGTGTAACTGGAGCTCTAGAAGTGGAGTGGATGGAGTCTTATCTCCTCCCTCTCTCCCTCAAAGTCAACTTTCTGCCTCCCTCCCACTCCTTCACCTGTCTCACCCTCCTTCTCTTTCTGCTTTCCTCTCAGTCTCAGTACAGCCTACTGAGCAGCAGTATGGAACAAGGTTTGGGGAACAGAGCAGCGTCTACCAGTCCCTACAGCTCAGAGACCACCTCCAACGTGCCAACGCCGTCACCCTACTCCCAGCCAAACTCGACCTTCGAGGCCATGTCTCCAGCCCCGGCCATCCCCTCCAACACTGACTACCCCGGGCCGCACAACTTCGAGGTCACCTTCCAGCAGTCGAGCACGGCCAAGTCAGCCACCTGGACGGTGAGTACGGCGTCTCGGTTGTGGTGCAACCGTATCACGTGAGCGCCTCGTGAACCCGTGTACACACAGTTGTTTTCCCACACTCACTGACGGTTTTGCTTGCAGAGTGCAGGCATAACTTTTCCTCTTCTTCAGTTGCTTGTTTGCCCTCTCTTCACTGTCTGTTTTTGGCGGCTTATTTTCTAGACTCATTTTGGTGGCGTTCCCGCTTTGTTCCTCTTTTTCAACATGTATCTTACAATTAAACATCTGTATAGGAGTAGCTGACGTGAAATTTCAAGCAGTGTCCTGTGGTGTGACGACATAGTATATTAAACTAGAAATGTATTCCTGTGATGGTAAAGCTGAATTTTCAGCAGCCGTTAAGTGTCTTAAGTGTCACACTTTCTAATATATTTTCATGGAAGCTGATTTTCTTCTTCTTAGAATTCTTTGATGAAAATAAAATTCAAAAGAACAGCATTTATTTAAAAGTATATTTTAATTTTGTAATATATATTTGAGAACAACTTTATTTAGTTTATAACTATGTAAAAGTCTTGATTGTCACTTTTGATTCATTTAAAGCATCCTCACTAAATTAAAGTATTCATTTCTTAAGAAAAATATCACTGACCCCAAACCTTTGAATGGTAGTGTGTATATCTTCATTTTTCTATAATTATTATATAAGCAGTTTTATGTCCTTATTCAGATTGAGAAGTTTTATGGACTTTTTAGTTTAGGAATTTTATGAGCTGCAAAATAAACTTTATAATTGGAAAAAATTTAAAGATGATGACAAGTAACAGCATCTGAAATAGATTCCTTCCCTTCAACATACATATAAATTGAAACTTGATGTTAAAAAAATGAGGTGTGTTATTTGTCAGCTTTATTTTTATTTGATTTATTTTTCATTTCTCAGTCGGGCTACTTGTGTGTACTTTTATGATTGTAGTTTTAAAAGTAAACTGCTACATACTGTTCTCAGCACTTTCTTTGAGAAACAGTCATTCAAAAAGCGCAAATCCTTTATGTTCAGTGTCATTTAGTTTGCTTCATCAGAATGCTATGATTGTTCGGAATCCCTTAGTAAACCTCTAAAAGGACAGAAACGGCGTTTAATTATTTGTGTGTGTGTGTCTGAATCCAACATGTTTGCTTTGGATTTTAGAATTTGTTGGAGCTTGAAGCAAGTTATTCTATAAAGATCTACAGTAAATCATCACACACTCTTCTGTCACCATTTCCACAAAGTAACTAATGAATCTTGACCTCCGTGAAGTTGGCCCCCCACCCAACGCAAAACGTTGCAAAAATCGTCTCAATCGTTTGTGCTGGTTTGTGCTGTAAAAATGTTCATTTGTGCTGCTTTGGTTTGTTAGATATAAAATATTTATTTAAAGGTCATTCAAAATATAATGTTTAATATTTTAAAAACTGAAGCGGCACAAACGAAAATTGTACCTGCACAAACCAGCACTAACTAAGCACAAACAAACGAGACTATTTGGGGTCAATTTGGCGCGTGTGGGGGGGCTGAGTGACCTGAGAATGACCTTTAAATAAATATTTTATATCTAACAAACCAAAGCAGCACAAATGAACATTTTTACAGCACAAACGGAGCACAAACGATTGAGACGATTTTTGCGACGCTTTGCGTTGGGTGGGGGGCCAACTTCACGGAGGTTGATACTTGGGGAAGTAAAATGCCTTAATGGTTTAATGTTGATGAGAAAATTTCCTTGTACACCTTAATGCCAGGACGTTGCTGTAGTATATAATCAGAATAAGGTGTTCTAAGTGGTTTAGCATGTGGATAGCAGTTGCTAGGGCCTTCTGAGTGGTTGCTAGGGCATTGCTTGGTGGTTGCTGGGGTGTTCTGAGTGGTTGCTAGGGCATTGCTTGGTGGTTGCTGGGGTGTTCTGTTTGGTTGCTAGGGCATTGCTTGGTGGTTGTTGGGGTGTTCTGAGCGGTTGCTAGGGCATTGCTTGGTGGTTGCTAGGGTCTTCTGAGCGGTTGCTAGGGCATTGCTTGGTGGTTGCTAGGGTCTTCTGAGTGGTTGCTAGGGCATTGCTTGGTGGTTGCTGGGGTGTTCTGAGTGGTTGCTAGGGCATTGCTTGGTGGTTGCTTACTAAATTATTTAACAAAGTTTAATACTTGGGGTTATGGGTTAGTTCAGATCTTTATATGAGAGATAGTACTCATAAGGTTTATCTCATACATATAGTGCATCCACACAGAAAAAAAAAAATCACAGTAATGTCAAGCAGAGAAGCTTGAAACCAGAGCAGTCAGTGTTTTCCCTAAAGTCCAGCATCTGTCATGAAGATAACCCTCTGAAACAGGAGATGGGGCTCTGTTTGTAGGATGAAGTCAAGCGTGAGGCTTGGTCTCTGACTTTCTGTGGACGTGTAAGGTGATAGCGGTCCCAGGAAGGTGAGCGCTATGGCCATCACTCAGTGTCGGCCTGTGAAGACTGTCACCTCAGACGCGCCACGTTCCGCTCCATTCTCAAAGACCAGGCCCCTGTGAGCAACAATAACAGCAGGATAAGCTTTTAAAATGGGCATAAGTGGAGTTTGCAGCACAGATTGCTGTTTACGTTTGGGGATAAGAGAAACAGGCCCTACATTTGAGAGTGTTTGGCTCCTTAGCTAGCACCATAGCTATAATGATACTGGTGCGTACTATGAATCTTGTTTACTCTATATTCATGTATATGGAACTCTGTGGGAATGGTCCTGCATATCTTATTTCACAAATTTCTGATTGATCCAGATGTTACTTATCATAGTTTTCTGGGCTTTTAGCTATCAACTTATGTTTTGGAGTGTTATGTGTGCATGAATCAAAATATTAATGTTAGCATTTCTGATCAAAAATGATTTTGCTTGACTGTGTCATATCTGTTTATATGTGACATTTTTTCAGTCAATTAAGAATGAAAATAATGTTTAGAAAGTACATTATTTGCTTAACTCTAATCCTGATCCATTCTAAACCTGTCTTGACTTTCTTTCTTCTGTGGTATTATTATTATTATTATTATTGTCTTATTGTTTTTTCTTATTTTTATTGATTTATTTATTTGACATCTTTTGTGTTCTGCAGAAGAAAGAAAGACATGCAGGTTTGAAAACAACATGAGTGAGTAAATGATAAGTAATGCAAGTTTAATTTTTGGGTGAACTATGCACTCAGAAGTTTACATTTTGAAAATATGCACCAAAATAAATTCCATTTCTGCAATGACATCCATATCTGAAATCTTTCACTTTTTTGCCTGATGCTGCATGCAAGTGATTCTCCGTGCCACTAGTTGTCAGTATAAATCCAACATGACTGTTGTATTGCCATTGCCTCATAAAAACAAATACTAAGTGCACCTTTAAAGGGGATGTATTTTGTGTTTCTATTGCACTGAATGATATGGCAGAAGTCTTGTGTTTTATGGTGATACTTACTAGTGCTGATGCAGCAAACAATATAGATTACCAATATGCCATTGTAGAAAAATCTCATTGACCCATGATTTATTTATTTTGCACCCTGAAGAATCCAATAGCAGGAGGGTTATCCAGATCAAGAAAGTACCATTTAGCTGATTATGTGACATCAGCTTGTCAGCCTCCATGAGGCAACCTACAAATAATAAATTAGAGCACTGATATAATCATACTGAGTCTTCATATAATGTGAGTGGACATTATTTTAAATATATTCGCAAAAACTGGAAAGCTGTTATGTTGAGCTTGTTTTAGTTGGAGATGGTACTAAACAACAATGTTGTCACTTCTTTAGAGAAATTTGTCTTTTCTCCGTCCACTCTTAAAAATAAAGGATCCTAAAGAGGGGTTTTGGTTCCCCAAAGAACCTTTAGTGAACAGTTCTTAAAAGAATCACTTTTTCTTAAAGCAAAGGACATTTTAACAATCTAAAAAAACCTCTTTTTACTGTAAAGAACCTTTGTGCAGTGGAAAGGTCCCATGGATGTTAAAGGTTCTTCATGGAACCATCAATGCCAGTAAAGAACCTTTATTTTTAAGTCTTAACTCCATATACAAATTGAAGGCAGATTTCAAAGTAGATCCAGAAATGAGTATTGGTTCTTCTATCCAAAGTAACATCTGAAGGTGGCTTTAGAGGAGAGAACATTCTCATTCTTGCATTTAATTGGAAATAAATATCTTTACTCATCAATATTTTTTATCTATTTTTTTATTGGATGGAATATAAATTTATTTTTTGTGTCCGCTAAAATGTAAGTTGCTGGAGTACACTAGCACACTAGTATGTTGCAGTCAAAGCTAAGAAACATACTAAACACCACAAAAGGTCTTTAAAGCCTTATCTGTTCTAAGATATTCTGTACATAGATTCATTTAAAGAATATCATAGATTATATGCCTTTTTTGTAACTTCAGAGCATCTACCAGATGCAAATGTCCATCACAGGAAGACAAGAAGCTGCTTGCCTCGCTACTTTTTTTTTCTGGTGACAGCTTTCATTTTTACTCTGCCGCCCACTCTAAAGACCATTCAATTGTTTACTTTGTCCTCCAAAAGAAGCGGAAAAAGGGAAAAATGGCTCAGGATTATTGTGAAGATATGTGGAATGCCATGCAACCTCAAATTGAGGGAATTTCCAGGTGTAATACAAAGGCTTGCAGGCTGAGGATATCTGGGATTACTGTGTAAGTGGTAAGTGAGTCATTGTGTGGAGAACGGAAGGGTTAAAGCATGATGCTCTTGGGTTTGTGTAGCCTCGGGATGCTTTGGGAGAGGCATGGGGGCATTTTGACTGTAATCTACTTGATCTGCAGTGGGCTTCTTACCGCTACCTGAAACAACATTCCTCTTAGACAACCTCATGGATGAACCATTCGTGAATTGCACAATCGCCTGTGTTAGAATTGTCACGGTAATGTATGCTCACTCTTATGAATCCTTCTGCACTTTAAAATATGCTGGGTTAAATACAACCCAGTGCTGGGTAAAATAGGGACAAACCC